AGCAGCCTCAACCGACACTATTGTGGCTGGACACAGCGGTGATCAGTTGAAATAAATACATATTTTTGGGCAAATATCGTGCTTTAGGTTCAGAATGACTGTGGTTTTGGTTAAGAATTTTAGATCAATTAAAGTGGTACTGTAGTAAGCCAGCATTTTTAATCCAGCGAAATCCAAACTTTTAAAATGCGGATATCAGTGTAATCCTAAATGACTGACCGATGTCTACGTATACAGTGAAGAGAGTTTTCAAATTTGTGGCATTGAAGGCGAATGCCCCGTTAAGGCTACAGCAAGATGTTCAAAATAACCACATTTTGGTTTAGTGGAAAGTGTAGCGTGGGACGGTTGGCTTAACATTGACGCCTTCGCCAAAGCCAAATTATTAAATAAAAACTTTTTTGACGATTTCTTAGAGTGTTTATAATCTGCCGAAATCAACTGATTGTGATCATCAGCGAGTGTTGTGGGCTGGTTGGTATGCGGGTCGCCAACTATGTGCTAGCGGCTGTTTGTCATTACCGCGTCCACGGCCCTTCGACTCTTCGTGTCCGGTCGAAAGCTCCAAGTCGTTCAGGAGGTCTGAGACGAGCTTAGAGGGTTTCTTTGGAGAGATGTATTGCCTGTAGAACCTACCCCAACCGCTGCTGGTTCACACGTGTCTGCCATCTTGGCCTTTGATACTGCTTACATTAACTTGGAACAGGTTGACAAAGTCGTTCCACAACACTGCAGGCATGATTTCTAAGGTTACTTGGATGGTGGATGCGATTCTGGCTGGTATTGATAACCCGTGAATCAGCTTGTTGATCATAAATCACCTTCGTTGGGGAGATAATATCGATCAAATCCGATTTTGGACAAGAAGGTAATTTAACCACCTTGTCAAGGGAAACACTGAATCCAAATTCTAATAATCAAGTTCATTAAATAGAGTAAAACGACCTGATGATGAGGAGGGATCACCGGATGTTAAAATAAGGTAATCTAAGTAGTCTTTTTATGATGTGCCACCAAAAAATCACATCAATGACTGTTTTTGCATTCAAATAGCCCTCGAACTCATTGATCAATGTTTGTTAGACATGCTGTACGACACCATTGTCTGAAAATTATTCTGCTTCCTCATTTAGCCACCCTCATTTTAAACTTTTTGTGATATAAATTGTCACGGTTTCCAATGGAGCAGATTGAAGGTACCAGAGTTTAGACGGAAAGGACGCGGAGAACGCAGCATCTCTGCTTATTTTCAGTGATTTAGAATTCAGGCACAAATAAAAAATGCAACTACATCACATGGCGAAAGACAGCTCAGGTTTTAAAGACAATTTAAAACAGCCTTGTGGGTATTTAATTCACTAATGGCTGCAGATACGTATCTTCAACGAAATGTGAATTCACCTTGAACTCCTTTGAAGTGTAAAATGAACTTCGATTCTAACAATGCAATCAGATCAAAAAGGTTCTGGTTTTCGCAACTTCACCATCTGTATTTTTGCCGTCGTTCGTCTTTACTTTTCACCATCGATAATTTTAAAGGCCCTATCGTTTTACAACAGTAAATAGTGGCTATAAAGACAGTAATTAACTGGCACCAAGCCTGGCGAATCGGTTAGCTACTTCAAAACGATTAGAAATAACTTCAGCTTTTAGCTTGCGTGAGTGATGCTGTGTGCCAACGTACGCTACCACAAAGCTAGGTGACCCCTCACAACAATAAAAGTATGATACAGTAGTGATTCACGTACATGATTACTGTCGTCGCATACTCTGTCACACCGGTCCACATTCACCGCGACCACGGGAGCCATGTGAGACTGTCTGTTCATCCACACCTGTGCATGTACCATTCATCTGGCCATTCGGCCATTTGTAATTTAACAACTTCACCCAAACTGAGTCGGTCAACAACATCATTGAACCTACACGACTTGGAATTCATGCACCAGGACGTCACAACCCTGCCACCTCCGATGTTCTTGATCCTGTTGTGGGCCCCAGCATGTGGTCTTGAACCACGCCGGGTCCACGGAATTAATCCTGGTCCGGTTACGCTTCCCTGATACCCGCGATGAAGAACGTGACTGGGGAGGACGTGGACACAATCGTTTACTTCAGAGCTCAACCACGTTGGTGTCGTGCGTGTCATTTGCGCCTGTGTATATATACCTCAGATAAGTGAGTCATACATGCGCTAACATCGAGACCTAGATGTGAGGATAATCCAAGATAAATATCCGTGTGAATGAAGGGGGAGTTGAGGATCTGCGAGGCTGGCAGCAAGCTGCAAAAAGGGGAACCCTGTGTCGGAGGAGGAGCGACCTGATTAGGGGGTGTGAATAAACACGATTAACAACAATCTCACCGAGTGTCAGTGTTGCGAAATTGGGCCAGTAAAAACGGCTGCCTCAGTCTGGTTCAACTCCCGCGAGAAAAAGTGAAAAGCACACAGGAGGAAGCTGCCTACTCTGCACTCGTTTGTTAGTGTGTTTTGGAGCCACAACACACCGCAACCGTGGTGCATAGTCTTCTCCACTTGGATCATTGGCAACCAAATCGCGGTTATCATTGATGGGAGCAGAAGTCGAGCGATGCCGGACGAAAGCGAGCCTTTAAATCTGAGAGAATTCTGGGAAAACAAAGACATCGTCTGGTTGCTCGCTGGACGAGATATCATCTCTGCTTTCTTCAGCACCCTGCATTGGGACTACGTCCGGCATACATGAGGAACCTGCTACGTTGTCGCAGTCTCCGACAGAGCACCTTCCTTTTCACGGCGTGTACGTCAGCCATGAGAAATCGTCTGCTCAAACACCTCTGTCTATTAATCGAGTTGCTGAAGTCTGCGATATCAACTGAACTATTCTGACCATTCAATTATCCTTACGTTATCTGGCTCAATTAAACTTTTGATCAAACACCACATTAGGCATGTACTACAACGGGCGCACCACACAACCTGCCATTTCTGGTCTTATACTTGTCCTTTCAAGTATCTGAGTAGTGTAAATCTAAATCGGTGTGGTTCAAGACCATATGTCGGAGCCTCAACAGCTAGTTCACTCGTTCTACACGGGTCAATTTTCTTCATTGAGCATGCACAGAGCCGAGACAGACGAAGCAACAACAACGAAAAACGATTGAGTTCCTCGCCCTTTCCTCCCGCTTCATTTCTTTCTAGATACATCATGTCACGATAACACATTTCATCACGACGTGACATGTGATATGGACAATTATATTTGCGATTTCCCCTCGCATAGAACGCGTTCTTCCAGTTGCAAAGCTGACTGTGACCATTGACTTTACTATCTGCTGTCTAATTTTTATCGTTTATAATATATTATGCGAAATTTATGCGATATGAATGTAGCAAGCTAGTGGACCCCCATTATTGCGATCTGTGTCTTCAAAAACACTTGATTGTTAAGGGAATCTTTTGAGGACACACTTCATTAGTAAAAGGAGCTATTTCAAATTTAAAGTTAAACTAATTGATCCAATTTCTCATCAAAGCGTTCCACCACCGTTGTTGTCAAAGTTCAGTTAAAATGGCACAATTTTTCCTATTTGCTCAACGTAAACCTTAAAATTTAAAGTCCTTGAAACATGCTAACACCATAAGTGGACAACTCATGTTATGCTTTTTAAGCATTTTTTAACATAAAATTCTTTTTATAAAAATATTATCCTGACTTTAACTTCAATACTTTGCTCAAATTTGTCCACATCATCTCGACGTGGATTGGAGTCGCTGATTGGTTCAAATGCAAAACAGAAGTCGAAGCGAGAGCGTAGCCATGCCGCCTAATACCACCAACGATACTTCTTTTGACACAGATAACTATCCAAATTACAGAAGTTGTAAAAGCTGTCAAATTTTTTCTTAAAATTTAGCAAATGTTCCAAAACTTATATGCATTTCGATCCCAATTTGAAACTTCTTACTGCACAGCATTACGTCCGGTGTAAATGACGTGAGTGCCAGTCGACTTAATGTTGGATCCAGCGAACGTGCTTTTTAAGCTTACCCAAGCTTCTATTGTAAAGAAATTACAAGTAAATTATTCTTAAGGGCCACACGCAGGAAAAGACCTATTTATCATCAAAAGTAAGCAAGCCCACGTTTTTTTAATGCATAAAATCTGAAGTTATAGCAGAAGCGTTAGTCGGTTGATGTCTTTCTATACTGATTTTGGCCATTCACGAAAAATGTTTTGTGATTTAAATGATTATCCAATCGACTTCTCACCAAGGAAACCACTCATATTCATCTGATTGGAAATAAAGTTTACTTGGATCTTTAATAAGTAGCGAGTATATACACATTTGCCTAGTGTTTTCCACCAGGTATTTCAATATATTGAAATTACTATCATTATCAGTACCCACATCGGACCGGATTCCTAAAAATTACTCAGGATTCTAAAGGTCACAATTATTTAACTTTCGCTGGTCAAATCCATCCTTGTTAATTTACAGTGTAACAGAAACCACTCCTTGAATTTTACAGCTAGCGTTAATTTCTGATGTTTGCAGCCAATCAGAAAACAGACCAATCTCACTCGATGTCAACTGGATTTTTAACAAAAAACGTGTTAAAACTCACAAATTTTGTTGACTCTTCCAATATAACTAAGCTCAAATTAATCTACCTTCTTCTGCTGTTCAATTTTCATAACTTTAAATGGAAAATTAAAGAAAAATACATCGTGAATAACAAACAACAGAAGTGACTGTGCTCTCTTAAATTTGTAATTGAATCAATAACAAAGTGTAGGTACTTGAAACTTAGTAATACGTTTACATCACTCCTCCTATTCTCGGTAACCAATAAAAGACATGAATCTCGTGAATTATACACAGTCGTTGCTAATGGCAACGCTGCCACCAATGTGAGTCTTGCTTGGTTTAAGTCAAGTCCAATCATATTGCAGTTTGTTGATTTTGAATGACACGTGCTTAGTAGCAGTGCGGCAGTTAATGATTCCTGCAAGGCAATGTCAGTGGTTCAAGAAAACCAAGTTTTTACTATTAAATGTGTCGTGGTGGGTGATGAACGAGTCGGAAAATCGTGCCTCATTGCTCGCCTATCAGGAAAGCCTGTCGACAATGAATATCGCCAGACCATGGTTGACATGTCCACAGTACGGACTTTCCTGGGAAAAACGCTGACTCTAGTGGATTTTTGGGACACTCCAGGTAAGGCCATTTCTTCGATTCATTCACCTCGTTTTTCAAATCGACCCAAGAAATAAGGATTGATTTTTAATCAACAATTATACACACTTGTAATAAATTGGTGATTAAGAAAGATGTAAACCACACAAAATGGTTTTTAAGATTCCATTCTCGCAGCCGAGTACGCTCATTCTCCTCACCCTGGAGACAATTTTGCCGAAAGCAACGCAAGCGCACACACCCATGACACAGCTACTGTGGGTTTCCGAGGCAACAGACGCAGAGTACCAATATTTTTGCTCGCATGCTGCACGCAGTTTTGTGGAGAAAAAACCATGCGAATAAAATTTTAAACGTGCTTTGATGAAGATGTCAGGAGCTATTCTAGGCGCTATTTAAGGTAACTGGTGCTTGCGTCGACACGAGACAATCTTACCATTTTGCAAAATTTGCTAATCGGACATTTACAGAAAGTAGACTGGGCATACACTGACCCTGTTATTCTTCAAACTATTCACAGTAAATGATTAAAAAATGTGGAAAAAATTGCTGATTTTTCAGATTAGTAGCATAGTTTATCTGTGACATACATCTGCTTTAGTTAACCATTCAATACTGCTAATCGATTTGACTAAAAGGATAAATTACGTACAATGTTAACTATCGTATCAGTTATGGTTTACTAATTATGTCGATTTTAGTGGAGGTCCAATTAATTTAAACGATTACGATCATCTGGTAGCAGGAGTTAATTCATTTAACGGTAACTGCTATTCCGTGCCCCATAAAAAAATCAGCGGGAGAGAGATTTTTTAAAATGTCCAAAATGCTGTTTAATGTTTTTGTCAGAATCGGCATTCGAACGCCTTAAAACTTAAAAGCGCCCGGAGATCTAGTTAGGTATTCATGCCCTTCTGTGCATTAAAATAAAAAAATCGGTGAATGCTTAGCTTATTTGCATCACCGCAAATTAAACCGACTCTCTTTGAGCGTGTGAAGTTATTGCAACCAATTAATGATTGATACCAGTAGGCCCACGACACCACGGTTGGAGTGGCTTAAGTACGCTCTAATAATTGAGGTCATAAAAGGCATCAGTGCAATCAGGTCAGGCTACCTGTGTGTTCCGGATAAACAAGCAAGTGCTGTTATATTTTTTTCTCTACAGCATGAGCTATGAAGTACGCAGGCTGCTAGCTTATTTAAATCTGCCTCATTCCTGCGCCGTGTTCAAAAGGCCTCTATGTTTGACTCGAGGATCCATTAGAATCTCAAACTAGAGTCCTTATAGTACGTTGACTTCAGGGAATGATTTTATTGAACCCACTTGTAAAACCGGCAGTGGTGCTTAATGCAACGCTCACAATGCCCGTGTTTAAGCTCAGTATTAGGTGTTAGTAATCGACTGTGGAGGTGAATATGTCGCTCCTCAAACCTCCCAAGCATCCGATAGGTGCTTACTTGGGCGTGGCATAAATCGATGTTTATCTTGGTCATACGAATGTGCATAAATACAAAATTAGGTAATCGGCTACCCGAAATTAATCAGTCTCGACTTTTAAATGTTGGTAAGAGTTTTTCAAGAGGCTGATGTTGAAATAATTCTTGACTTGTGTGCGTGATAAGTTTTCTCTTATTAAAACAACCTCAAAAATCATTTATTACAGTTAATTTTGTAAATTAACACCTAATCATATAATTTATTTCACATTGTCGCCTTATCTTGTTACTGTTAGTCATGTCGGGATAATAAAAATGTCCCAGTGGCGTATTTTAATTCATTTACTGCTAATAATGTGCACGTGACGCCTCACCACGATCAACTCAACTTCGATCGATAAGTACTCTCTGATTGGTTACCCGGTTTTATCCGCCTGGACAGGAGCAAGCGGTGGTATTATTCGACGTACCTTTACCAAGAATAACCATAATCGCATAATGTCGGAAAACTTTGATCAGCAATGAAGATAACTAGTGGTCCATCATCAGCATCAAAGACTGTCACGTAGTTGACGTTCCGCTGAAAACTTGTCAACCCACAGACAATTAAGATAGTTTAAATATCATGTCAAAACGCAATTCCGAAAGCCGACTGGTTGTTTCTCCTTACAATTGTTTTGTTTTACTTTAGGGGCACATAACTTTCAGAGCATTCGACTCCTTGCCTACCAAGACACGCATATTTTTGCGATCTGCTTTTCCGTGGTTGTGCCGGAGTCGTTTTCAAATGTTCGGAAAAAGTGGATCCCCGAGCTGAAAATGTACGGTCCACCGAATGCCCGTTTTGTCTTGATTGGTCTTCAAAGTGATCTGAGAGGCGACGAGGCCGTGAACCAATCTCTTCACCAAATGGGACTTGAAAGCCCCACTATCGATCAGGTAGGTCTGTGACTTTGTCGAGGAAGACGTCACGGCTGTCCTTACTGTTTTGATAACTATCTAAGATCACTAACCACTTATCCCCAGTTGAAGTCCGAGCAGCTTTGTGTATATCACAGAAACATCTGAATCGTTGCTCTTCACTACCTAACGTACCTCCTCCTCCTCCTCCTCTTTCTTCAGCTTCCTTTTGCTTCTCTTTCCCCATATCCTTTCTCTTGCCGTTGCACAGGCTATCCATGTCCCATTTTGAACTAAAAATCACCCACCAATACCTCTGTGTTCAATCGCACAGATCGTAAAGGCGGTTACAAAGGCTGTTTCAGCGGCTCGTAACTAGCCCGCGGTGTCTAAACACTGATATTCGCCTTTGAAAATAGTGGTTAGAAAGCAGATCACAAGCGCCGAAATCAAGATTTGGCCTACTGTCCTTGTGCGCTGCGCTTGTAAGTACGAGTTTTTTTCCAGGTGGTAATGCTTTGTGATTTGGTTTTCCGTACCTTTTAGGGTGCGGAGTTGGCTCAGACCATCGGTGCGATTGGCTACTTTGAATGCTCCTCTGTAACCCAAACGGGGGTGGAGGCGGTCCTGCAGGGCATCAAAACCTCCATCGCAAATCCCCTCCGAATAGCTCGACACGCCTCTGTCTCCTTTTCCAGCCACGCCGATGTGGAAGGGGTTGAGGAATTACGGAAGTCGCTCAAAGCTTTGCAGCGATCTTCTGGACCCTGATTTGTGATTGCGCAATCAAGTTGACTTTGTTTATTTTACAAACTTGTCATGCCTTTTGTTTGTGTATTTTTGTGGTGCTTTATGTATTATTTTTGAAATTTGAATTTCAGTAATAAACGATTGAGTATTTTTTTGAATATTTAGTCTAAAAGCAAAATCCGTTTAAATCTTAGCACATTTTTCGTTTCCCCAGAAATAAAACAAGTAGCTTAAAGTCCGCTTTAATTCGTCGGAGATTTAGGATGGTGGAACGCAAAATTACCTTGTGTATCGACGAACACTGCCTAGCTAGGCGCTTACGTGTTAGATTTCGCTGTCTAAGCGATATTTCCCCGAAACTTTGTAATTTGTTCAGAGGCAAATTACTGAAAAACCTTCACAGATGCTTCTATGTAATACGTCATTTCTTGCCCTTGATTGCCACTCTGAGCACATGGATGAGGTTTCTGGCGTGTCCACGCCTGGAAAGATCGTCAAATGACTAGAAAGCTCTTTGGAAATGATAAACGTGAAATTGAGAAAGTAGTACAGAGGCCATCACCGATTTCGAAGCAATGACATTGACTTTGCCAAGCTGTGGCTCTAATGATACGCTCCAGATGCACAGGTGGCAATAAAATTTCCACTTTCCGTTGATCCATTGTCTGTCAACCGCACTGATTGTTTTATTATCTAGTCATGTGGCCCGCCCCATGTGTGCCTGACGTACACTCTTACTCCCCTTTGTTTCACACACACATACAAGATTTTCTTTGGTTGTGTATAATAAATACTGGCAAGAAAAGGTCTTCTGAGATTTAACAATCAACAGGACATGGTGTGTTCAGATGACGAACTAAACTTTGCAAATCACACCCACCGACCTCCGCTGTGTGGAAAACACAAAATTTGGCTTGAATCCCGAAGACGTTTAGGAAACAGTTTCTTTAATTCTTGAAAAGGGAACCACAGTTTAAAATCGGCTAACTTTAGGTCGTAAAACGCGGCAACCTCGACCTGATTATGTGGTCGTGTCTTCTGTGTACTGCCTCAACGAACAAAAATTAACTTGGAACTGTTACCAGTGTTGTGAAAATTCGAGCACTCATAAATCTGTAAGCCGGTATGTCTATTGGTGAACTAAATAATTTTGTATAACTTTAAAAGATAACTATAACCAACAAACGTATTTTAAATAACAATCCTGTCACCACATAAATAAGCCTAACTAAATGTATTATGATCCTGTTTATAAACGTGTAAATATTCTCTTATTAGTAATATCGAGTGACAAATACTGGAAAAAGTTGTAATTTGTGGTTAACGTAGTACTATTCTGTTGGGGATCCAGCAGTCCCCAAGACGGCTCATCACGGGTGAGGATTTCGTCATTGTTTACACAATTCCCCCAAACTACGCCACGGCACCCTACTGACAGCCCCACCTGTGTTAATCCGCTTCATCCACCAGGTCAACGCCATCCTTGACTTATGTAAGTGGTTGCATTCAGACAGATCACTCGGCGTTTTGTTGCGGGCTAAACTTAACATATTCAGTAAAAGTAGCAATTGACAAGTTAGACGACGCAAAGCTTGGAAAAAAATATTACAATTTTGATACGCTTTCCTCGAGAATAAGTTAAAATCTGCGCACATGCCTAGATTTTAAATTTGGTTCTCAACTTTCCCTAAATTACTACTCTTAAACAGGCAACATCAAAAGCTGTGTTGGAATAAACAAGTATTGTATTTTGACGACCACGTTCTCGCAGAAGACAGTTGGATGTCGTGTAGTTAGCTGACTGGAAAATGCGTTTTGTAGACACTTTTGACGACTTAAAATTGCAAGCAGCAAGCGTGGATTCTCCAAAGAATGGCCTCCAGAGTTTCAATGACGTCAACGTCGCATTAAAAGCTAGCAATTTTTGACAGTCCATCTTTAAGCCAATGGTATTTCCTGTTTTTGTTTGATTCCTAAATCAAGTACGGTAAATTTTCACTCTCAGATGGTTTCGCAAATACCGGTTTATGCTTTTTCTATAATCAGCAAGGTAGTTGCATTAAAAAAAGTTAGGTCATGCAATCTACAGTTACTTCCTCTAAAATTATTATTATCATGATCATGTAAAGGATAGAAGCACTCGATTACACCCAGGTGTCTACCTTCCCGTTTGAGGCCAAGTGGCATGTTTGAGGCAAATAATTATAATGCGCCTACAAATTCAGGAATTTGAATGAACTAAAACAGGAAACACCGACTTGCAAAGTCCGATTCTTTTAAAAAGAGACGTGTTTCAGTAAAGAATAATTTGTTGTGGGTCCTGGCATGAGGTCTCGAAATATGTTGAATCCACTTCGTTGTAAAGCAAGCATTCACCGGTACAAACACAATGGTTTCGAATAAGAAGTTTTGTGGATTAATTAAACAACATTTAATGGGAAATTCACCCTTCCTATTTCTTTAACATTGAAGTGAATCGTGTTGCTTCGCGTCCAATAACCCGGTCGTCGCAGCCTCACACGCACATCATTCACTGGGACCGCCCGCCCATTCACCCCTCCGTATGTGTTGCCACCATCCGCTCTACCCATGTGACCATTCAGACGTCCTATTTTTACAAGCCCACTCAACTTTATCAGTCAGCAAACACAACTCGGTCGAGCTGTCTAGTAAACGGTTGTGCCTTGTCCTCCCCGGTCTTCTTCATTTTGTCGGGTACTCAGGGTAGCGTAGCCAGGCCAGATCAACGCAGTGGCCTCGACGTGGTTTAAGACAACATGCCGGGGCCCTTAACACCATAAATATTCAAATAGAAACTGCGGCCCCAACCTAACTTCGGCAGTCATTTGCGAAAGGAGTTATCTTTTCCTTATACGGCGTAAGCCTTTCTTCAGAAATTCGGATTCTAACACAGATCCTGTGATTCTGTTCGGCTGCAAAGTGCATTAGTATGAGAAAAAAACTGATTTTTGTAAGCACTTATGGGAACTTACACAATGTATTTGCGATCTACCATACAAAATACATCACGTTCCGTTGCTTCATTTTAACAAATCTGTATTCTGATAAATTTGACGTGACGAATCTTTAATTTGCTCGCTTTTTGCAGTTTTGTATAGATTTTAAAGTGAAGCACTAAAGTTTAAAGTCACGTTTATTCCTTGTAAGTAACTCTTGGAAAGAATTTTTCAAGTAACAGATCTGTCTGATTTGAAACATTAGTAGGTGACACTTCAAATAGCACTCATGTCTTCATTTTGGATCAAGCTGGAACCAAAAATTGGGATTTGTTACTCTAAAATATGAATCAGAATTGTATTTATTTGTAACACTGTCAAATGCTTCCTATCATTCACTCATAACTTATTCTTTGAAACATTTGTCTATCTGCGTTATCGATCGGTTCTTGGCAGAATCCACTGCATTAATTTATTGATTATGGCCATGCCTTAAGGCAAGAGCTGTCTACTCTAAATGCCACAGTGTTCTGTTCAATCTCTCGCCTTTTCCTATTTGTTTCTGGGGATTCAGTTTAGATGTGAGCTCAATTACGGATATGGACTTTTCAGAACTGCTGCGTTGAGCAGTAATTCCAGAAGATTTTTGATAATACGACTTTAGTGCAGCTCCATGCGCCTAATTTTTGAAACCGTGATTAGATTCTTCAGCCAGTAAAACAACACGACAAACCACTCTTTGTTGATGTTAGCACTGCCGAAAGCCAAGTTCTTGTAACCTTTTTTTTGACCTTTTCGCTTCTACGACCTGGAGACCTAGGTACGACAGGCAAATGCGTCAAAAATGATAAGAAGAGCTAAGGCGTGGCTCAAACAAATTGTGTTGTGCAAGATTGTGATTTTTTTTGAATCCCAATACTTGACTATCAATGTAAGTGTTCCCAATCAATTAAAGTTAAATGACGGATGAGATGAGAATTATGTGGTTGATCAACTAAGCGATGTTGGAAAAGAACATGGTAATTGTTAAACCAGGACATTCGTGAGCGGAAGGGATAGAAGCGATTTGACTGGAGTTTATTGATTTCCAATGTTTATTACCGCTTATTTAACCCACCTTCTGTGCGTACTTCAACGAGAGTATGGCTCGGGCATTCTTTCCCTTAAAAATCTTCAATTGTGCAAAGTACCTTTAAAGCTTTGGCAGAATATTTAATAGCAACACGAACGTTCACGAAAATAACTTTGGTTGCATGTACTCAGATATCATTGAAATCAGCTACACAAAAAATGGTGTTTGCAATAGTTTAATTTGGGCCCCGGCCTGTTGGCTTAAATAACGCCGGAGCATTCGATTGTCTTTTGAGCCTTGGGTCAATTTCGGAGATGTGAGCTGATTTAATTGCTTCTAATATGAGGTCTGCGGCATTCGCCAACTGTTCTAGTGTCGACGATTCAACCATGGGGGCAAGGATGGGTTAACTATTGCTTGGAAGTCGTTTGAGAAAAAATCCTTTCCAAAATGCACCTTGCAAAGGTTCGTCAATGGAGAGTTGACGCATCTTCCTCGGGATCTGGGTAGGCTTCAAGTCTCCCAAGTTGTGGCGGGATAAAGTTGATTAATGCGTTCTGATGTGGTCAGCCGCGTACGTTTCAGGATCGCTGCCTTTAACTGGTCGGAAGGAAAATCGTTGTTGGGGTGAAGCAGTACGTCCGAAACTTCGTTGGCCAGTTTGCTGCTCAAAGTAGAGACGAGGTGAGAGTATTTAGCATGTTGGCTGACAATGTTAGCGCCACGAAATTGAGTTTCCAAAACGGCGAATGGAGGTTGTTTTAGGTTGATCCCTTCCAGGATAATTGAAGGTTTGCTTTCTTGATGATCAGGTCGGGGTCACCAATTAGAAGTAGCCGGGTTGAACCGGCTGTTAACTATAGGGTCGAATGGTAGTGCCAAACCCGGGCAACTACAAGTTCTTAGTATATAGAGGTGGCTTTATAAGACATCAATAAGGTAATAGTCGCCAAGTTGTAGCTGAGCACAGTGAAACTACCAGGTTCCGTGGAGCGGTTGTGTATAAGGCCACGATTAAATGTTTGCATTTGAGCCGCTTCTGAACACAAAATGTTGTTTCGAAAAGCTTAGTTTTATGCTGGTTAATAATTCCCCCCTCTGCCGGCGTTTTCGTGAGTCTCTACTTGGAGGATATCGCCTGTTGAAGAGACCAGCGATGTGGCCTGATCCGACCCCAAGTACCCAGAAGAGAATAAGAGAACCAAAATCAACGGAGACTCAACGATTTATTTCGTCTGTAAATTTGGGTGTTTAAAGGCGTGGCTATTCTTAAGTATGCATAGGTCATATAGATGGACAGTATGAGTCATTGGGCGTTAACGTGGCGGATTAGCGTCGTTAGTTCAAGACCAACATTGGGTTTCAGTGAAATGGACCCAAGGCTGGGGATAATTGACGCTGCAAGGGTCCGCGGGATTCGCGAACATGGGAAGCAGTCATGCACGAATTGTAGTGGCTGTTGTGATTCCACGGGTCTCACCATACACCAAAGATGTGCTGTGAATCGCGTTGATTCACCCTCTTTAAATCTGTTACTCCAGTCTTCGACATAATGATCCCCTTTTTACGACATGTCGTCAGCCGTGTGGATCCCCAACTCCCCCCTATTAGCGCGAAAGATTATAACCACACCTTAGGTCTCGATGTTAGCATATTTATGACTCACGCTGTTTCACTCACACTCAAACGCCATGCACAACACCAGGCTGGTTGAGCCCTGGAGTAAACGGTTGTGTCAACGTCCTCTGTAACTCAGTGGCCTCGGCATGGTTCAAGACTAAATGTTGGGGCTCACAACAGATAATTCTCCTGTGATGTGTGAATAGGGGGTGGGCTCTGGTGTCCACCACTTTGAATGAAGCAAGTTTCTAGGTTCACGGTAAGCTCATGGGGTTCTGAAAGGTGAGGTGACCTCACAAAGTGCAAGTGATTACAGAATGTGTAAAGTAGCAATTTCTTTCTAAGAGGTCCAGTGCTAAACTAAATTTCACTTTGATTTTACTCTTTCTGACTATTTTTCATCACTTTTGCATTCGTTTATTAACAGGGACTAAGCTTAGGGATCCACGTACATCTTGCCTCTCATTCTTGAGTTATTTTTTGTTTCAACGGAAGCAGTTCTCCTTGTTTGTTATAATGCCTTTCCGTCAAACGAGTCTATAGTTTAAAGCAGTTTGGAAATTCGATGCGATTCTTATTAAAAGAGGTCTTCTTCCTACAGAAAGCGTGAATGTTTTCACGCCTTAAAAAATGGTTCATTCTGAAGTAATGTTTCAACAGTCTTTACACGACAGTATCACTTTTCATGAAGCAGGTAAATTCTGAAATCCCTGGAAGACAAATTGTGCTTTTCTTTGATGACGTCAGCATACCGAATTAATCCAACATCACCAGTTAATAATCACTACTCGGCTTAGATAAAGCATCTATGTGATCGATATCCTTACATTTTTTGGGGTTTTCCTTGTAAAAAGCACAAAAGATTGGCTTAGCTAGACTGATTTCGTTTTTGGTTTGCCAGAATGTGCGCTCAATCAAATGGTGTGGAGATCGAAGAATTGATTAAGCAACATCGTTACATACCCCAATGGAACTGATTTTACACCCAGTATTAAACGTGTGTAATCTCAGCTACAATCCCGTCGACTCAGTTACTTGTCTCTAAATCGCCAGCCACCTGAGTGTTTAGGCCACTTTAGTGAGGTTTGATGTTAACACGCCCCATTGCTTGCCCGTCGTTGTATGTCCTAAACGACCACCGTACTTACCCTTCGTTCCCGCTAAGTCAGCCTACGGGGCCAGGAGATGGCAGACAGCTATCTTAAACTATTATTTCGGTTTTCAACATAACGTGAAAGACCTTAACCTTGTTCTTAACACCTTTATAACGAGTTAATGCGCCGATAGCCATAGACACAGAATATAATAAGTGCAATGTCACAGCTTAACTTCCCTAAAGACAGTGGACAAGTAGGTAAGATCTTGCGTTCAATAAATCAAAGAGGTCCATTGCACCAATGTCCTTAAAATTAATTCGGCTCACTAGAACCCACACGACGGACTCTGTTGGGTAAACGCAAGATTTTTTACCATTTTGAAGCCTCGTAGCGGAGTGATTGCACAACACCGATGTGAGCCAATCCTTCGTCTTTATGTACCTTGAATGGCCTGGGAGGAGGATCTGCCGTCAACTAGCAACAAGGGTGGAAAAGGAGCGATATATTATGAGCGACGCAGCCGGCGTGTCAAAGTTAACAAATAATCGATGAAATTAACTTCAGTCTTTACGTCCCAATTTATAATACCATGGAATTGCATCTGTCACTAAATTATCATCAGTTATTTTTATTTAAAGCACTTTAAAATTTAGCTGCAATTATGCCGCGACAAAATTCACAAAAATTCTATAGATGCCTGAATTTTAACTTCAAAGTACATTGCACCTTCCGAATTTCGGTATTAGGAACTGATACAAAAGAACTATCAAACGTAACGGCCTGATCATTTTGCATATCGAGATCATTGTCAACATTTTATGAATGTCTCAGATTATTTTTGTATGCAAAATGTAAAAGGATCATTTCCTGAAAATAACGCTACTTGCTTTGGATTCCCAGACTGACTTCCGGCTTGATAGATGTTTTTTCGGTTGTCTAATATTTATTATAATAAGCTCAACCACTTTTAATCTAATCATTCAAAACAAAATCTAACACATACACAGTACCTAAACATTTTTTTGACATTATCAAATTTATTTATCGAAGGTCTGTCCACTATTTGACAAACTTGACATTAGCACAATAAATGCTTTTGGTTAATGCAAAAGACGAGGTATAGTTAGTCATTTTAGAGGCTATGGCAAATCCTTAGTACTTTTTGATTGATTGGTGTCCACCATTTAGATAAGCTAATAATATATATCAGCCACTTTCTGAAGATATAGATATCAAATTTTTGATATAAAATGTTAGTGTTGCAAATTCTTATCTAGTTTCATACTTAATAACTTATACAAAAGACTTCCAAAATTATATTTACAGTCCATTATTGGCATTTGTTTCTTTCTCCACAAAAGTCTAAGCGCGTATTTCGTTAAGTGGTCGCTGACATGTCGTGTGACGGAGCAGGTGATTCGCCTAAGTCTCAGGGCATTCTGCTTAAATTCAGTCATAATTGCATTGAAGCTAAGGGATTTATTCGACAGAATGTATCTGCGATCCGTAAAACTGTACGGAAAATGTTGCGTAAATTCGATGTCTTTGCATCTGAGGATGTCATTCGTCCTCTTGCTTGTGGCAACAGCACCGACTTGCCATCATTGCAGCTGAGGCTTACGACCACCACAGACCTTATTTATACTTCTGAAGATCCTTCCAGAAAGTGTCCATGGTCTGAGGTTCCGTTTGTGACCGTCGTTGTTGAACGGCAGCATCCAAGACCGTAAGTTGTCTCCTAACTGTATAGAAACGGGAATTACACATTCCTTGTATTCATCCGCTTATCCATCATCGGAATAGGCATGTTTTTATTATGGTTTAGCCGGTTTACGTGTACTGTCTTTGGCTGTCCTTAGTCTTTTTCACTGCGGTGTGTAACCCCACCAGGTAAAGTCGTTGATTTTTTTCACTACCTTTTTACAAAAAAGGTTTTTGCGCGGCCTGTTATTGTTTTCACCGTTTTATTTGATCAGGCGTTTGAGACATCTTTGAGACAATTTCCGTTAATTATCAGAACATGAACTAATAAAGTGTTCATTTAATACTTTTTATGCGCTTTTATTTAATGTGTTCTAGAAAGGAGCCAACCAACGAGTCTCCAAGTCAAAATGGGTCCGCTGTCACTGATGTCGACGCATCAACCAGATTTCATGACTTGGCCTCTCGACTGGAGATAGTTGAGAAGTTACTTAGTTCTTCCACACCAATTGGTACGTTCGACCCCTTTTTTGTTCACATGGCAAGAATTTCCAAAAACTCATGCATTTGGTATATTGATTAACACTAAATGGGTGTCAAATACGAACCTTTCCTGACTAGCAAGTAGTGGTCATGAATCAAATTTTTGAGGTTCTTTGCTGAAATACACCATAGAAATGTGTGGTTGCGTTGAGCGAATTGCTATCGTTTTATATCACGGTTGTATCGTAGGCACAGATTTAGAGTTATTCTATGTCCTCAGAAACGTACTAATGTCTCTCTTAAAGTTAGATCAGTAAACAAACCACTTTTTGCTCCAAGCGACCACTAAACTGAGTAATTCACCCATAGGTGTGTTTGTGTGTGAACGTTATTCATGCCAGACAACCTCAAAGTGAATAAAGCATGACGCTTCATAATTTAACCTAACCATGGTACCTTGGAATATTGTTAATGCAGGCACGACGTAGTCTGCAGTCCATGAGTATCGCCATGGCAGTATTGATTAAGCCGAATGCATAATGAGTGTGACCACGTCATTGCAAATTCACGTGTTTGAGTCATTTTCAAAAAAACAACTGCTTCCTGGTACATGTATGTTATCATTAGAAGTGTCTAAATAGCAACAAAATCGAATTGAAATGCCTTTAGCGATGCGTGAGAACATTAATTTTTTTCATGGGCACATTAAGTTGTTCAAATTACTGTTAGCTAATTTCGAAGTAAAAAACTGCCTCGAAATGTGTCGGAGAGCTGGAAAATCGTCGATGTTATTTGTTTGGAACGGCAACAAAGCCAAGTTCTGACGTTTACCGCAGGAAGTTTTAGTTCCACAAGTGTTTCCAGGTGCATTACTTTCATGCTACTATTTTTTGTTCAGCTTCCAACGGTGTAACTTCAACAACGAAGTCTCCCGCCTCCCACAAAACCAAAGAACCGTCGTCCGCCCCGAGTAAACAGCCTCCGTCTGCTTCAGCGAAATCGCGGAGAAAATCATTATTCGCCGATGCCACTGGGGCTACTCCTCTCCCCCGAGCCAGCCAAAAAAGGCAGTCTCACTATAGCAACGGTAGCAGCGATTACATCTGGCAGACTCCCGCTTCCTTTTTGGCAAACTTTGACGAGGTCATTGAGTCTGTGGTTGCTGGCCTTGACGACCCGAACGATTTCACAATCGAACCCGCCTCAAGACAGACCGCTGTTCAGGATAGCTTTGATTATGAAGACTTAAATTTCGACAGCATTGCAAACTCACCGCCAAAGAAGAAGAAAAGGAAGACGTTAACCTGAACGCCGCACATTGCGCCCTCCCTTCGTGTAATCAATAAGCATTTACTGTAAAACTGAATGATTGTTTATTCTAACACCAGTCTCTTCTCTCAAGTAATTGAGGTCTTTTTTCATCTCTGTTTATTAAGAAACTTTACCGCTGGTTCAGTATTCCCATTTCAAGGGTAGCCGTGGAATGAGTAGCCCGGTCGCTTTGTTTGGCAATGTTTAAGATAAATTAATGCGAGTTTTTGACACGAAGGTTGGTCCCACTTGTTAGTTCCATTACGTGGAGTCGTTCCCTAAAATTGTGGTTGTTTCGCCACCGGCGGAGGTGTCGAAGACTTCTAACGCCAGTTGGACTGTTTTGTCTCCGCGGGCATCCGAGTTTAACGGCTTAAGTGAGTCACTGGTCGGTTTGTCTGACTGTTGTGGTTTGGCGAGTGATGCAAGAGAATAGCAAGGGTGTCTAGGTGCACTCAACACTAAGCGCATTATCTAGAGGGATCGGCTGTTCATAAATCACAAAAATAGTTGCACAGACAACAGGCAGATGGTTCTTATGACTGGAAAGCTTGAGGAAGGACTTGGAAGGTGGCGATGAAAATGTCCCAGTCGGCCTGGCGCAGGGCGTTGAGGCAGGTCTCAAAGTCGCTGTCGGCCGCCAGAGCGTAGAGGCGTTTGAGTAGGAGGGCCTGCGAGGCGGCGTTGATGTGCCAGTTTGAGATCGTGGTCGATTTGCACTCGGGTGGTGGACGCTCGAAGTAGGTCGGGCAGTAGCTCTGGACCGCCACAACAAACTTGATGGCTTCGATTATGTCGTCATCTGGGGTGTCTTTGTTGTGCAGAGATCGAACGCCCTCAATCTACAGAAGGGAAATACGATAATGTTACGATTAGCCAATAAACAAAGTCAACACAAATCCCACCTTCCCAGTTCATAACAGGTGACAGTATAGGGGATGGATTATTTGAACCTCGTGTGACCTTTACACGGCGGCGTGACAACTGAGCTGCTGTAACTAAGGCAAAAGGTGTAAGTATAACAATCGATAGTCTCGATTTCAAGATGAAACGGTTTTTGGGACTTCTGACTTCCCCAACATTTGTTCCTCTTGAAGAACTAATAGAGCTTCTTTGGGTCACTCTAGACGTCCACTGCCATTTAATCTGTGACTTGCTGATCTGATGAGACTTCTGTTGATGTCGGCGCTTGAAATGTCTCAAACGGTAAGTCATGTTGAATGCCTGTCTGCCGATTCGGTGTATTTGGCAACGTTGGTTTCGATGCCTCGTCTGTGCATTGCAATCCGCCTTTGCATCGAAGATGACCTTTCCGTGGGAAAATGCAGTCGGTCCTTCGACCCCACGGTCCTGCCTCAAACTGAGCATCAGATTCCATTCTTGAGAGCTCGAAGCTTTTGGAATGTACTGGGGACATCACGAAGACTGTCGTCCGCACATTTGCGCTCCACGAGCGTCTCGGATTGCGATTGTCAATTCTAAACAGCCTCCTCACGTGATTTGGGCACGATCAGCTTTAGGGTGTCGACGAACCATCCAGCCTGTCTCTTTGACTGCGGGTTATGATGGGGTGGAAAACGAATCTGCGTGGCTGCATCTTTTTAACGGAATCCTGGAATTTGCTTTAATGTGAATTTGCACCCATGTTTGGTGACAAGGCTTTTCAGAATCACACGGTCATGGGAGATGTCGCTAAATCAGTTTCATTTTGCATTGCTATCCTCACAAAACACTTAAGTTTAACGGATTTTGCTGACGCTGGCGCAGTTACATGTCTGTTTTTCTTTCATTTGAAAAAAAGTATCGATTTTTGACACAACAGGCGATGCCAGACAACAGATGATCCAAAACTCAGAGTTCAAGTCAACCACTTGGGTGGTGGGTGGCATTTCATGGATAGGAGGAATGTGGACTAAAACTCAGACTACCCCTTTTCAGGACGTAAATAATGCACCTTGCGCACTTCCCTCAGTTATGGAGAGCATACGGGGAGGTTCTGGGAACAATAATCACTATCTAGTGCGTGAATGAGTGATCTTGAACATTAGTAGTTGTTAAACACCGCTTTCGGGCTTTCTATAGACCCAGCCAACATGGCACTTTGCCGCGGCCTGCACACAGTCTCCGGTGGTATCCGACTGCTCTTCTCGCCTTTTTATGCATTTAAATAGAGGAAACCGGTCACATGAGGCATTTACACAACAAACATTTCAATCCCCATGCTAGAAGTAGGCAATGCAAGCGACAAGAAAGATGAGTCTTCAAGTAGTTGGTTCCAGCAAACCCCCTAATAATTTGAGACTAGCTGACGAGTCGCCTTGAGGTTTTTGTAGAGTTCTGGTCTACTTACTAAGGCATTGATGAACTTGTAGCACTATTTTCTTGCTGAAAATTGTTCGACTAGTTGATCTTGTGAGAAAAAAATTCCCGAACCTTTTAGGGTTTAATCGAACATACGTGCTGATTTAGTATCAGGATTTCGCCAATTGAAAATCGATAATTTTAGGCAAGACCCAGACCGCTAATTTTGAGGCTCAGGTGAATTTATGCAAAATCCTCTTAGGTCATGAATATCTCTGCAGATTTAAATTTAGCAGACAAGGTCGAATAGCCTTTCCAAACCACTGTTTCTTTTCAATTTGTCAATGAAAAACTTACGTGGTCCTTGGTGATTTCAGGGGTTTCGCCATCAAAAACCCAGGCCTGACCACCTCGAACGCATTCAAAATAGGCTGGTATTGGTGCGGGGCAGTCTTCGTCCATCGCTGGTGTCTCCTCTGGACCTTTAATTGATCAAAAAACACGCACCACGAAGACATTTGGCAGGAACACAAAAATGAGCATTCATTAGGGCAATTTCAACACTCGCACATAGACGAAACAATAAGGTCACACAAGTGAGGCCAACCAGCCAAATCTCTTACATCCAGTCAAGCCAGGTGAAACGTATTTGAAACGATCGCGGTGAGGCCTCAAGTAGTGTGCTTACCGAGTTGGTGGTAGAAGGTCAAGCACCTTACATAGTCCGGAAACCATGCATTCCTTGCACCATGAAATACTCAAGCCTTATAAGGAGAGCCGCTTTAAGTATGGATTTGGTGCAAGCACAATGTTCGCCTTTGACTATAGGTGTCTATAAATGGCACATGTCAAATTTTTGCTCCATCTGTTTAGCTGCAGATGACACATTAACTTCTGTACACCAATTCCAGCAAAGTTTATGTCCCCAAATCTCACAAACGCACATCGCGTTTGCACCAAAAGTTATGTGAACTGACGCGAAATCCACAGCCACCTTTAAGTCGTTTTAACTAGAGATGTTGACACCAGGGCTCTCCACCTTTACCACCTGATATTTCGACCGTCTGAATGTCCGAATTTCATGGAGAACCTTGATCAGGCTCGTTGAAATAGTTATTCAATCGCGTTAAAATGATTTTCATTACTAACGTCTTATTACATAAAGCACTTGTTATGAATCGTGTTTATTCACACCCCTTAATCCGATCGCTTCGCCTCCGGTACAAGGCTCCCCTTTTCGCAGCATGTCGTCAGCCGCGCGGATCCGCAACCCCCCCCTCATTCACACGAATATTTAACTTAGATTATCCTCACACCTAGGTCTCGGTGTTAGCGCATGTATGACTCACACATCCGAGGTACAAATACACACGCGCAAACCCCACACACGACACAACGACACCAACGTGGTTGACCTCTGGAGTAAACGGTTGTGTCCACGTCCTCCATGATCTTTTTCTTCATCGCTGGCACCAGGGAAACGCAATTAAGCCAGGATTAATTCCGAGGCCCCGGCGTGGTTCAAGACCACATGCTGGGGCCCACAACACACTACTTCATATACCCCTGTCAATGCTAGTAAAGTTATAGGCCATTTGCATGAAAGGTTACACCATGAAATGAGAAATAAATATACGTGTTCAAATTGATTACATGTTTTATTTAGGCCAATTTTAAAATTTAAAAACAGGTACTAAGAGCACATCCTTGGTTGCTGTGGTTGTTGGGGAAGTATACTAACAATTACATACCCTGCTGGTGATTAACAATGAAATTTGAAATTTAATTAAATATTTTGCTATTTATTCAAGATTGCACACGGATTTTCTTTACAATACGTAATAATGCTCCAATAGGAGAGAATTTGTGTGGAAACCGTAACTGGAAGCATTGAATAAAGGTGAGTGTCAAGAAAACGGACAAACCTGAAGAGGGCCTTTCAGACTCATTTTCGCGACATTCCTCACCCAAGGATACCTAGAGGGGACAGGGATTCAAGGAGAAATGCATAAAATAAATTTCGGGAGCAACAGTTAAAGCGAGACAGGTTTAAAGGTTGTTGGTTTATGGGTTAATAAAAACCATATTTGCCTACATGTACTTTAACTGCATGCTTGGTGAAATCTGGGAAAATAACGCTTTATAATTGCGAAGTTGTCTTGGATAGCGCTTGGTCACTTTCTGCTTCCATACGCTAATTTATGAATGTCGACATTAACGAATGGTACGTTCGCATATAGCTGAGAGCATTCACATCAATCGTGTTGACATTTTAGCGGGCACAGCAGTGGCGCATGGGATATGACAGAGTCTGTACAGGAGCTACTCAGAGATGCTCATCGTTATTGCCACAGATATACTAACTAGCCATTAAGTCAGTTTCCTGCTGCCGAACTACCGTGAAGCAGAAATTCAACATCCTGTTGATTATGCCGTAGATAAGTTTGTCATTTTTAATTGAATGGCTAAATTAAAGAGTAATCAGTACAGACTTAGAATTATGACTCAGGACACCACTATCTTCAGCAAACTCCTTACACTCCTACGTTATTGGGTTGCGTAAGATTAGTCAAAGTCCCGCATATAATGTGATGGGTGAATTAAATGCACGAAGTCATCTTGTCATAACCCTTCGGACACCATTGCCTTCACCTTCCCAATTTTACAACCTCTTGAAGTGGCATCCACAGATGCCGGTCGCATTCTACATCCCGATTTCCTTCTGTGGCCACCACAACGTCGCACAGCATCGCAGTCACTGGATGATCAACCTCCTCCACCCAGCTCACCTTATTCTTACTAAAATCCCCAATTAGTACTTTGAAATTAACCTTCAGCGCTTACTAAGATAAAGGGATCGCTCACTTGCACAGATTTGTTCGGGGATGATTTCTCTGGGCAGTTGTCATCGTCCATCTCGTCAAACCAACTCTCCGGGCCACCAAGGAAGACCCAATCGCCAGATGGAGATGGTGGCTCAGAAATGTAGACCAAGGGAGGTGCTGTTGGTTGGATTGAAAGATCAGCTACAACAAATTTGGAAATACCGCTATAACTAGTTGTCGGCCGAAACCAAAAGCTGGTAAATTCAAGTAACAAAATAGCGAAACGTTTTTTTTTCGAATTAGATGTGCGATTTTCATGGTAATTATCCTCACAGGAGGAGGTGGGTAACTTGACCGTCAATCGATAAATTAATTACTCCAAGTGCCTGCTTTATCAATTTTAAGGCTCCACAAAGACGACCGCATTAATTAAAACAAACGACCTTGTTTTCAGTGACTTGACAAAAGTTTAATAACTTTCAACCAAACAGGATTATTTATACGCCTCATTTGGCAGAAGTGGTTCCTTTAAGGGCCATGACGAGAGGCTGTAATAATGGAAAAATCAATTTAATCTAGAAGAATGAATTAGGAAATGGCTGATTTAAGTAGTATGAATAGCAGTCTCAATCGCGAAACCAGTTATACTTTTAAAGGCCCAGAATATTCTGGCAGACTCCGTAAGATTTGATCAGTAACACGCTGAATTAGCGTCGCTTATCCGTTGTTCACCTTTATCCTTTAATCGACAGTGTTTGCCGCCCTTCAAAGCCAAAAAAACTTCTTCCGACAAATAATGAACGATTATGCTAATTGAAACTCCTGACTTAAAAAGAACTAATTAGTAAATATTGCGATAAAGGGAAAATCGAGAAGCTTACGATCGCTTCGGGTTATTTCGCAGGGGGTTCTTTTGTCAAAATCTGGAAATGAAAATGACAGCGTTTAAATCAAGTAACAACTTTGCATCATTTTACGAATGAGATGGATTATTTGCACTCGGGCTCAAATTTTCTGCCGTAGAAACGTTAGCTTAAAATGTATGGCTCCGCCCGTGTTAGCACGCTTCATTTAACAAGTCGAGGTCATTTGTGACGTGCATAAGTGGGTGCATTCTGACATGACACTTGGACCTTTGGCTGCGACAGTGAGAGCGCTCTCCACGAGGTCCTGCATTCGACCTTAACTTGGAAGATGAGGCCTAGCGTTAGATAAGGGAGCCGGGTGGCGGTTCTGGTTACGGGGGAAACGCTACAATACCGTAAGACAACAGCTAATTGTGTGTAACCTGACATTTACAAACTTGACTCCGGCTGTGCCCAAATTAGAGTTTATTGTCACTTAAATTTTATTAAAGATTGCATTTGTCGGATGGAGGAATTGGTGTGCCGCCTTTGGATTTTTACTTTCTGGTGCTGTGAATTAACCCAAACCTCGAAATACTGGTGATTCAGCCATGGAAACAGTCAACTTTTGAATGCCCTCTACTTCACTAGAATGCCACCCAGTGTTTCGTGTCCTGGATACCAATTATCTAAGCGTATAGCTCTGATTACAGGTGAAATGTAGCATCATTTGAGAAATCCGTCACTACTGAAGTCGAATCTAATAATATGAATAACAACTTTAGTTTTAGTCAAACGTAGATGACCCCAAAATACTGACAAAGTGCGGATAACAAAGCAGACATGTAAAACTCCACCAGAGCTGTTGCCATGGGGTGTTACAGAGCAACATACAGAAGCACATGTTCTGGGTCAACCGAAGGTTATTTTCCAATTCTAGAAATATTTATACAATCAATGAGGCCAGGCTTTGATGGATTTGCGTGTTACTGTTAGAGTGCTTAATGGAGCATCCCAGAGAGTTGACGTTTGCATTAATGGGTAGACAACTAACAGACATTCACAGAAATTAATCAAACGTGTCCGCGCAAAACAATGTGAAGGTCAAATCCCCGACGGATCTTTGCCGGGATAAAGGAACTGACGCTCGGGTGACTGATGTGTATGTTCGATACAAAGGCGTTTGAAAATTTGAACAAATTGAGTCGTTGGTATGTTGAGGCAACCTCACACTAGAATTTGAATATAAAAGGAAGCAAGGTTTCGCAAGTGCACCACGGCGTTTGTTTGTCCGAGTAGCTACGGACAAGGAGGGCGGTGAAGTGGACACGACCGTGCGCTAGCCGAGATTTGTCGTTGTTCGCGTAAACGTGGGCGTGGTCATGGCGTTCCACATGTACCCCGGAGTGGACTTGCTGTAAACTAATGGCAGGCACCACGTGCATAATAAATTAATGTGAATTGCGGTCTTCACTGTGAATTATGGCTACTGATAGGTTAATTGCACGTGACTCTAATTAAACTCCTGAACAGGCTTTGAGTATCAAAATCAGCTTTGATCTAAGGGCGAAAAGTGTCTTGTCAATCAAAATTCCCACCAATTGCGGTTAACTCGACGAACGTTTAGCTTAGATGACCCACGTGCTGAATCGCAGTGGGTACCTCGGTCAGCAGTGACTTACTGATTACCAGTTTGTGGAACAAATACGGCACGGCTTTTCAGGAAACCACGTGCATAATGTGTGTGTGCACGATGACTCAGCACCTTCACAAGGCCAAAATTGCGATTTGGGGGACAGGTTACTTCTAGGTGAATGTCAGAGTGTGTGTGATTGTTTGGCAGCAACGACTTTGTCTATTTGCAAAGAAAATACGAACCTATTAGTGGGTGATTTGGTGGGATTGCCTCGCGCACCATCACCTTTTCTTGGTGGAGGCCTTGGAAATTGACCGGCGAATTGGAGGGGACTTGTGGAGGATCGATTGTAGGCGCGTCCGGAGTTTCCAGGGGATTTGATTTAAACATAATACTAAAAGATGGACAAATAGATATGTCTTTTGATGTAAAAGCCAGGCGTAGGTCTCAAGACAAACGATGTGCTAAATACTTTACGAAGGCCTGTGTATCCGTTTTATCAGAGCACGCGGCCATGGCAACAATGACTTGTTAGCCCACATCTGTTTTCTTTGCTGTCATTTCGTATAATCGGACAACCACCTTGCTTGAAGGCATAAAATGCCGGAAACCAGATAAGCATACCCTCATTAGATCAATGTCATGATAGCACTGTTCTCACACACCCACACGCACACACACACGTTTAAACCCACTTATAGGCTACGAATAAACAAACAGATAGAAGTCGTGACTATTTTAGGAAACCGACACGTATCTAAATGTGGCAGGAGCAAGAATACTTTGGTTTTTGAAACCTAGTGTATTTACTTGCCTATTGCCTGTTTGTATTGCTGTTTTTCACCTCTTTCAAAAGCGTAATAACGATCTGGAGGACAATCCTTGCTGTAAAAAGTTCACTGTGATGGTCATAACAGCTCTTTTACTAAATTATCTAAAGTAATAATATTTTACTAACCTGCGGCATGTGGAAAACTTACGGCAAGGTCGTTAAATGGATTCACACTTTGCAAAGCGCTGATTGGTGTTAATCACGAAAGCTTGCGAATTTTAAGCAAATAAATCGAAGCCAAACATGACTGAAAAGTCACACTCATGTGGCACATCACCTAATTGTGATGCAGAATTTGGAATTTAAATATTTAGCGGGTGTTGAACATTAAAATTTTGCTGTATAATGAAGTAATTGCAGAGGAAGCCGGTTTATTAGAACAGTGCCGCAATTAGGCATTTTATTCTTCGAGCATTATCAGTCAAATCTCTATTAAAACACAGAGATAATGAACAACACACAGGGCAACTTACGGTGAGCTTAAAAAAGAACAAATAATAACAATTTGTTTAAAATGTTAATAAGTAATACATTTAGTAATAACTAAATACATTGGTAAAATGACTAAACGGATAGGGCATAATGAATCAATAAACCGCATGGAACGTCTCACGCAAACATTATAATGCATTCTGTCTAAATCGCTATTGGTTGGTTCAATGGAAAAAAACACTACAGTGACTGGCCACAGCCACCTCAAAGCTATGGTGACGAGATAGATTATGGACACGTCTGTGTTGAAAGATGCCAAAATCCGAACTGTATACCAACGCCCACACAGACATATAGCAAGTTAAACATGAGCTCAAACCTCAGAGCCGGTTATTCCTCTAGGTGCGTAGGAAGTACTCAACTCTGTACATTTCTCAACTACTTCTCATTTGACCATGACCGATTGATAAATCGCGTTCTGTTTTACTTTCTTCCCTATGTACCCTTTAAATTTCGATGTTTAGCACGAAAAAGTATGGTGTATTCCCTACTGGAGTTATAGTTTGATTGTTTTACGTGGAAAACGGCTCGTGGGTCGATAAAAAAACTCATGTTAATGTGAGGATCCCTAGGTGGTGGCTGTTTTAACGCCCTCAAGGCAAAAACAAGCGCTAGATGCAGCGCGACCCTGAGCATCAACCAATAGGCGCGCGACCTTCAGACACAAACAGCTGCGACAAATGGCCGACTGAATCTAGTGCAGTAGCGCCAAACAAATAACAGCTGACTGGTAGACTGGCCTTCGAATAGACTTAGCGACTGCGCATTGTAGCACAACTTAGTACAAATGTGGTTGCTGGTTGAAATTTACTAGGAAGGAATTTTACAACAGGCAATACAAGTGCAATACAAGGCAATAGAGCTGCACCTAATACTTGCGTCGGTTTTAAATTGGACAGTATTACATTGTAGTAACTAAACGCAATCATTGCAGAACCATGTTCTGTTTCTTCATCTACAGCGAATTACCTGCTGGCAGAGTCAGGAATATCCATGTGAGCGAGATGTTGAGGGTCGTAGGGTTTGCTAATGCTCACCCGTGGGGTTGCTGGCTGGTTGGGTTGACGGGGAAAACGAAAAATGCCAGCTAGTACTTTCGCCGAAGAAGTTGATAAGGCCTTTGAAAAGAAGAAAAAGAAAATTCGTCCGATTTGGTTACACAATTTGCTTTAATGGAACGTTGCTCCAGATTTTGTAAAGCGACGGTAAGTCTAGCCATGACTTGACAACTTGTCAATCCTTGAATGGGTTGATTGAGCAGGTCGAAGATTTTCCAAATTGCGTCCACGTGTCACGGTGTCACGTTATTTATTTCGCATCCCGTTGTCGCCAACCTTCCGGGCTTTCAAGTTTCATTAAATCAAATCTCGCATGAACAACGATGACACTTCCCGATTTGTGGAGGTCTTGTTATAGCAGAACGCATGAGGTAACTTTCGAAATTATCGTGCTTCAACGACAAGGTCGCAGAATTGAAAGGAACCGCAATTTTATTCAAGGGTGTCCAGTAGTCTCCATAGTATTGGACTAGAAGTGTTGGGATCTATGAATGCGTGTTTAATTCTATAACATATTTTGTTGGTCATTCTTATTCCCCCAAGACTGCGTCCCAAGGCAAAATTTATAAAGTCAGAATAACAAACTGTGTACCGAGCCCTGAACGCTGTCATCTGTCTACGGCGGCAGGTTTATACTAAACGCAGACGAAAGCAGAAAATTGACTTCAGTTTTGTCGTGTAAGAAAGCCCGATTTTTAGCTAAAGTTTGGATTTTCAATTTCAACCAATACCCTTTAGCCATCCTTAAAACTACTTCAAAACTTCGCGCTTATGGAAATTCTTATTCCTATAATTTTACGGATTGACGGACATTGACAAATGACAATAATATGGGGATGCAAAAATACTTCCCGATCGGGCACAAACAACTTCCAGAAGTTTCAAAATGTGATATAGTTTACATTCGTAAGTAAAAAAGATTCCCTTGTGATTTGACAGTTTGATGACTGTTCTTCGATTGGTGTTATCTAAGTCGACCCCTGTTTTATTTCCACTCGCGTGTCATACCAAAAGGAACCCGATTTCATTGCGTTTAATTGGTTGAATTAGTTGAATTTCCTTTAAGTCATGTGGAACTTGAGGCTCAAGCTTCTCAACGTCAAGTACAAATAAAACTATCGGCAATATTTTTGCTATGCCTTGCCGAGTTATTTGGTGAATCGATTCAACTGCGGCTTCGATCTGTTATCATCAGTTTCATTGGGTTGATCAGAATGTCGATGATCCCTTGGTGAATAATTTACCAGATCAGAAATACCTAAACCTATTATGACACTGGCAGCTATTAGTCGGTAATGCAGGTCGTGGTCATTTTTAGCTTTTGCATTTCTAGACTACAAAAGTACTGCTTTAGTGATGTATCTCGGTAGTTAGCCAAGTGCAATTTTCATATCAATATTGACCAAATAATTACAAATTTCAAACAAGACAGTTATATACAATTGCACTAACAACTGCAATACTAAAAATGTGAGGGCTTTAAAATTTGAGAAGTAAAACTCTTAAATTGATCAACGTTCTTAAAATATCTTAACGTGGGAGCAGACGAAATCCCCGACGTGACAGCGAAGCACTCTATTAACGCCAACAAATGCTGACCGTTGGCAGTTAAACGACAAGGGCATGGCCAATAACAGGACTCACTTGTTCTTCTGCCTTGTACGCCTTGTAGAGACGCTTGGCTGCTCCCTCCGGCATTATAACAGTGAGATTTTTGACGGAGGCATACCTGAAATGCTCAAGTCTGAAATTTTTAAAACAAGAGGCCTCATAGCAACCGCTAACAAGTCTCGTAGTAAAATTCTTTCGCTGCAGACAAAACATTTTTCTTGCATGACCGCTTGACAGAATTATGGAAATCATCACGCGATGGGCATTGTGCACTAAGCGCCAGTTTCCATTTTAAGTAAACGTGTTTCCGACAAAGTTTCCTGATTCGTGGTAATTATACAACAATCTAAATGATTTAAATCAGCGCATTTCAACTCTAGACGTTCAGCGAGATCACGCCTTTCCAGACGATGGCGCAATAAATAGCACAGCGAAGGTCATTGAGTAGACCAATAAAGAACAAATGTAGGAGTTCCTTTTACACTAAATCCTTGCCGATGCATGTAAATAAGCATTGTGCAAACTCGCACCACCAACTTTGTCAGTTGGTATTTCAACCGCTGTGGTTTACGTTTTCGGGTTGTTAATCAACACCCACTGCACCGGGCATGCGTCACTGCCGTCGTGGGCTTCACCTACAGGTCTGGCTAAATTTAGTGCAGGTTTCCGTTGTGGCTGAGCCGGCGTTGGATTTTGCACCCCCTAGACAAGGCGGTAGTCCCAATGCTCATTTCAGAGCATGACATTTGCTCTGAGCTTGGAGGTGGCCAGTTTTTACACCATGCTAAGGGCAAGATTAGCGGCCTATTTTCAGTGACTTCACTGGCTTGTTTGTGCAAATAAAGTACTGCCGGAATTCAATTTAACAAAACCGCAATAAGACTTGATAAGGACGTGGGTTACTCGAAGCTAGACTGCGATCCGCGTTTTTTAAGCGCATGGCACATTAGGTCTTCCATTAGCATCTAGATATCTTCCTGGGACTTTTTTGTCCATCTGTGGCCTTTTCCGTGATGACATTAGTCTAAGTCACTACAGTTACTCGTGCAAAAGTACTCGCAACACAAAAAAGGTTGAGTGAATCGCTTCTTTTTGATCCCATCACACTTCTGTTTCATCACGTAAACATTTCACAGGAAAGCACATTTCATCCGGTAGACAGGACGTGACAGATCCGATTGTATTACACAATATGAACTAAGCGTGACTAACTACACAAACAACTTTTTTAGTCAGGATGAGGAACAACAAAGTGGTACTGTAAGATCCCAAATAGTCTGGCAGTAATTCTTTTTGCGTAAAAATTTCTAGCAGATGAAAAAGCAACTTAATTTCAATTAAAACATTCATGAAATTAAATTTAAGGAAGCAATTTGCACAGTTTTTCCACAAACTACAACTACTACTTCTTACATTAAAGTGCCGTCAAAACGCCTTTCGTGCAGAAAGGAATTTAGGTCACGAGGAGGGCAAGAGGCATCTAAGGTTACGCAAAATGCCTCTCTACGGTTTTGGTAACGTCTGACTTCTGTCCAGATGCTGCTTTACTGGCCCATCAACGAATAGACCTAGCCACTTTGTCATACGTGATTAGGATTTTGACCATGAAGCATCAAAAGTAACAACAACAACAACGAGATGTGTGGGTGTATGTCGAGGTCTGAAGAAACTTTTCCACATTGCAAGTTGTAGGTGCGACAAGTACGAAAAACTGTTTTAGCTGTTTCTAATTCGGTTTTAGATAAAGGCTGTCTACCTATGTATTAGTCTGGTTTTTCGTGGAGTTCAAAACAACCGTGAAACGCAGCTTGTTCACAAATGTAATGTAATCAGCTAGAACTGCAATGTGAAGCGAGGGTATGATTTATTTTCTGTGTGCGTGTGTTGTCAAATACTTGACTCGGATCCACAACCTGAGATAATAAAGCAGGATCAGAATGTACGGTAGCTTAGAAACGAAATTGCCTTCAGCTGTGAGAAAAGGGCATCGAAGTCGACACAAAAAGTCAGACAAATTAATGTGCATTTTTGGCTAAAAAAGCAATAAACTAGTTGCGCTGTCTCAGTCTGCCATTTTGCATTTTGAAGATAGTGGAGGTTAGCTGTTGGGCGTTAGTAAATTAGAGTGGTTGATAAATTCCATGGGACAAAAATTCACATAGTTTTGTATTCGAAACCACGCAAAGTAAGTGAAGAACCAGTTGTCAAATCGGTATGGTAGTCACACTTGCTGCTTTTCATAACGCTCACTACTATCCAGTGTAGACTCACAAACCAATCGCAGCATCAAATTTAAGCACTGACCTCCTTATGCTACTGATAAAACTCACCTGGTTATGTACAATTTGTTCCTCAAATCGTCCTCCATATCTTGCAGCTGCACTGCCCTTAGGACTTCGCATAGCGGCGTCATCTGAGAAGGCTGAATTGCAGCAGAAAGGAAGCGGATTGACAAGGTGCACTAGGAGCTGCAACCTCCAAGTTCTGACAAGTTACACAAGCAAAGACAACTTCACGAGTTCGTTGACGTGAAAAAGGCACTTGGCCGGTTGATTTATCCTCTGCATCTACAGCACTGTGCTTACATTGTCTGCCTTAAGAGCCTCATGCTCTCTAAGCACTACTGTTTTTTTTAAACACTGGCAATAAGGGTTAGCAGAAATGCATCGTTGCCTAATTTTTTCTACACTGGCAGCGAAAAGAGGAAATGGTGCATCAATAACCCCCTGATTATCTCCGGTGGCAATGACGGGACACTTCAAATGCGGCAACTACAAGCGCATAACTCACTTTGGGCTCCTGTGGGTTATCCTTAAAGTGCTTGTAGTTCTTCAAAATACGCTTCGCCGCCGGAGCTCTCAGGACTTTTTTAAGATCCTTCTTGTTGTAGTTCCTGATGTGTTCAAAACTTATGAAAGAAAAAAAAAACACAAGATTGTGAAATTTGTTATAAGTTAGTTACTGAATAATGCTAACTGCTTCCGGCCAACTAAATGTCCGGGCAATGTAAATTGTGAAGCATACGCCTCAAAATTGTAATTTTCTCAAAGCTAAAAACCATCATTTTGCAATGATGATGATGATGATGAAAGATCCCATACATACACTTCGATTCGAAGAATAGGTCTTTTACAAAGTAATCCTTTTTACTAACAGAAAAATGAATGACCCTCAGGCCAAAAACGTTGCATATTGCTGGCGACAAAAATGTAGAACAGGCGGCATTTGTTTGGTCATATAATGGAGAAAAAAACACAGTTTTAGAAGGCAAATAATCCTGCATTTGTCGTCTTCAAGTGCCTCTATTTTAAATCCGGAGTCACTTTTCACCGCATTCCTGTGTATTACTTCTCGCTTCACTTTCTCGTATTCCATGTTGTTAAAGGTTATAAGTAGCAATTTCTGGTGTTTAGCTATTTTTTCCTCTGCACTGTTCCAATTAACATGCCATCCCAGGTGTCCTGTGACTCTTGGGGCAGGAACTGCTGACACGCCTCATCGCTGTTGACATGTATATTCTGCTTCTTGATCCACAGTTATTGCTATGACGCACCAAGAAACTGACATTGGCTTTTCATATCTTTTTAAGCAAAATTTTGCTATCTTTAAAGTACACTCTGTCTACATGAAGCTGAAAGTATGCAATGATGTTATCTTTCTCCAACTAAACAACACAAAAGATTGGAATTGAAATCACTTGCTGACTAGCATCGTATGCAGACCCATAAATCAAAGAGCACACATCATGGGATGACAAACACACAAAGCGTCAGATTGTTAGGAAAGTTCTGGAAAATCACACACACACACACCCTTTTTGTCAAAATAACAGTTGCTTTTATTAATAGAAAGTTTTCTCTATTTGGACATTAAGGCAGTCGTGATACTCACGTAGATCATGAATGCAAAAAACACCGAGGTTTTATTTTAATTTTTGCACCCAGTGGGTTACACAAATAGACCACCGTAACAACATTTCTTTCGGCACAACAGGTTACCATTTTGAGTGGTTTGGAACGAAAAGCCGGTATCACAACCTCCCACCTTCATGTTTTCACTAATCAAGTGAATTAATTTTGCCCTTGAATTTTTTAACCATTACAGGTTAAAGGATTGTTACATTTTGCTATTGTGATGTTTTCTTCCACAAACTCTTAGCAAATATTGACTTACCACTGCTTCTCAAAATGCTAAATTTAGTGTAATAATGAAATTGAGTTGAAATTTTTTAAGACGGCAAATGGGATAATCAAAACATTCTATAATTGCGCAACGACGAGTTCCTAATCGCATCAAAATTGGTGGATCCAAGTAAATTTTTATAAAGAAATTTCGACGGTAACATGACATTCTAAAACAAGGGTGCAAGGACATATTTTTTGTCAATGTAAGCCACCATCGATTAAATAGCCGGCCTCAAGGATCCATACCGAGGACAGAAAAAAAATTGCCGAATGTAAACACACATCACAATGGTTTTTGTAAAAATTGAAATAAAAACGTTCGCAACAGGACATAAGGTAACTCGTTCTACATATTGTAAACACAAAAGCCAGCTATTTAACAAGTCATCAAACATGGATTTCCACAGTAGTTTAAACAAAATTTGTTGCGTCAGTATCTGTGTTGTTGTCAGTTTGTGCGTTGTCTAATTGCTAATTTATCTCTTTTTTTGAAGGTTCGTAGTCTTAGATGTGCTACTTTAAAACATTGTTACAGTGACTTGACTAAAGTGAACATATGAACAAATTTCCTGGACTGCTTTCTGAGTTAAATAACTGACATGGAATCATCACTAACGATAGAATATTTGACGAGCATAGTTTAGCTAGGAAAATCAGGCGGAATTGCGTTTTGACATTTTGTCAACATCAATGCATTAATCTTGACGATTCATGCTTCAAAAATTATATAACTGCTAAAAAAGAAATTCAAAAATAACAACCTTCGAATCCTGAGCTCGTCGCTCAAAAGTTGCTTGCATCCTTCCAGTTGAACATATCTGAGAAATTGACTCAGAAGATCATCTGTCTGAATCGCTTCAACCATTTGTGTTTCTAGCAGTGAAAAGAACTGAATATTTTAGGAGCATTCTTCACCAAGGCACAACTCATAGCCAAAGCTATATCTAAATAACCTATTTGTTTTTCTTAATATTTTGTGAGAACGATTTGTAATTATATTTAAATAAAAGGAATGAAAGTTATAACCAACCGAGTGCATTTAAAGTTAGTAAAGACTACTCAGTTAAGCCCTAAAATCGCTTGCAGAATTGCATTTGTTCATCAAGTCAGAACCTGTGCCTCTGCAAGTCGTGGTCAATGGCTTTCGGAACTTTTGCGACCTAAAGCCTAATTCAGCAACGTGCATAAATAAACCACTATCTGACCTTTCTTATCGGCATTCACCTCAGATTTTTGTGGTTTGGACAATTTAATATGCGTTACCCGTCATTGATATCAATTTTCATCTAAACATTACTGAACGATGTCTACTAGCATCTTTTGTGTACAAGGTCCAAATCGCAAATAAAATAAAAAGTTTAGAGCAAGAAACAATTTTAAGTAAAGTTTTTAACATAGGTCCGAGGTGACACCAAATGTTAATGTATATTGATTTTATTAAAAAATGCGGCAATAATTTCTCGAGTTTTAAGAGCCTAATCAAAATAAAAAGCCCGTTAAATAATGGACTTTAAAGGATTGGTATATATACAATTCGATATTATCTGAGATTTATGGTAAGCTAACGCTTTAAATCGCTAAGAGATGTAATTAGACGTAAAACTTTCTCTTAAAGCGTTAACGAATTAGCATTAACACATAAATTATAATTATAAATTATGCTACATTATTCGAAAATTTTTATCAAAACTACAAGCTTGCCCGGAAGTAATCAAGTGATAATTTGTTACCTTCCAAAATGCGAAATAAATTAACGTCGTATTGGGCGCGAGTCAATTATAGGATTTTCGAGGTCAACATAATTTGTATCAAATTTAATTTTATAAGACAGTTCAATTTTTTTGACTAAATCCAAAATTACTTAATTTATTTATTTAGCATTTATTTAAGCCTAATTTATCAAATACCTACACTAATCAAAATGATCCTGTTCCATTAATCATTAATGCACGCTACTTCAAAATGGGTAATTTTGATAGTTGTAAATACCACACGCATCCGCAAAAGTATTTTAAAGATGCCTGAGATACATTTGTTTTTGTATTATCCTATCTCTATATATGTCTTAACTTCGATCAAATGGAATGCAAACCTGAAGGCTAGGCTTATTTTACTGACTTCAGGCCATATAATTGACCTTTTTTTCAGGGGCCTTCAAAATGTTACTGTTGTTGATATTTGTACCACATTCCGCTTTTCCGGTAATACCATTCTGCTAATATCTAAATAACGCAAAATTTTTGATTAAATTTAATTGTAATGTAAAGAAACATTATCATTTACATTTTAATATCTGTACCATATCGAAACCTCAATTTACTTCCAACAAATATTAGTCATTCAAATTAAAACACTTCGATTAATGTTCCTGTTGATTATTTATATCCCTGATATTGAAACTATAAAGTTTTGGGATCGCACACTAATCTATCATTTTCTGCTAATTAAAATCATATAAATAAGATTGATGCAAATCATTTTTAATTTGGAATGTTGTTTTGAGGAGTTTTCTAGATTCTTATCTTACGAAGTGGATTTAGATACGATAAATTCCTATACTGATTCATGTTCGTTAAGAACAATCTTCCCATCGAAAGTCATGAAACACATATACCAACATGTAAGTGCTCCCAAGAACATGCTTGATACTTCTGACCCAGTGTTTTGATTTTCTCGCAATTTAAGTCAACACACTAACACAGTAACATTGTGAATCTATTCTCGTGTTTTTCACTTTATAAATCTCTCATTGCTTTTTTTCTCTTTTTGCTACTTTTTGTCCAGTCTTGGCTCTTTAGTTACAAGACATATATCTAAGTACCTATATGTCGATGTCTTGTGGTTTTAGTCTGGTCTGATCTGGTGAGTTGTGATATTAGTTTATTTGATACAACTTTTTGGAGTGCATTCTCACTCATTTAAGCTGCATTGTGATGACAGTGTTGCTACTAGAAGTTCCCCATTTTCCAGATTACCCCTTCATTCGATTAACATAACTTGGTGTAATTACGTATAATGGTTATTTACTTTCCGACAAAACCTTTAATTTACATTCTTGTCTAAATCGCTCACAGTATTTGGTATTAGATCAAATTTAGATTAAAAATAATCACCAGGGCTCGCATCTAAATTGGTAAATGAAGATCGTTATTTAAGTACATCACATTTCAAATCACTTTCTTTGTTTATCAACATCTATTTTAAAGTTAAATAACAGATAAAAATGACGATAAAACTTGAGTTTTTCGTAAGAACTAAAGGTTCTGCGTAGCATCGTCAACTAATTTTTTTTACAGAAGCCTTACATCAATCAAGACTTATTACGCTATGTATTATAATTTCTTGTCCAATCATCTCGTAAACATTCACTTACGTAGGTATTCTACAATATCTTTTTGAATGATCAAATTGATGTGATAAAGGGTAAGTGCCTAAATAGGTGTAAAATCAGAAGTTGTGAAAAAGGGACTAGGTTAAATTCTTGCCATCTGATTACTCCAAGGTCACTTTTGCTGCCACGATTGTCACGTCAGTGTGAAGGATTTCATGACAAGTTCAGAAAAACAAAAATGCGCTGACAACCAGCCGGTCGCGTGTGGACGAACTTGGTATAAACAGTCCTCCCGACCCGTGACAGCTCGCGCATCTAACACATTCGGCAACTCGTGGCGTTGTATACACATGCACACTGAACTGTTTTTTGTTAAAACCTGCCGATTTTACTGTTTTTCATTGGCTTTTAAATTGGACGACTCGACCCCACACAAAGTACCTCACAAACTTCCCATACGCTGTGACCCGAGGAATGAACAACGCAGTATAGTCACCATGTTCTTGTTCAAATTAACTAGGAATTTGTCTACCTTCATGGACTACATTTGCGCGACCATTCATGGGCACTTCCGACGCTGCGTTCCTATGTAATTTGTGGTGACGAAGAATTTTTGAGGAATGGACTGGCCCCATAAGCCCCGTAAACTCGCCGAATAATGTGTGGGGATGAGGGATTGACCATTCCGGTTTTGGAGAGGACGACCAAATCCATCCTGGTTCTGGGAGTTAAGTACCACCTGGCTAGAACGGTCGACAGATTCTTCACGAAAACCAAGTTTGGGATCTCGAACAAAGAACCTCTGTGAAAAAGAACAGTCAGACGATATATTTTAGTACTTTTTTTTAACAAAACAGATGGTTAACAATGCAAGGTGAATGACATGAAAGGAACTAGGCTTATTTAACAAAACCAATGACACTGGGTAACTTCTTAAATGGTTTGGTATGAATTTTTTACACAAAATAGAGCAAGATGACGCTGCCTTGAGAAGTGAGCGATAAAATGTTTGCCATTTCATGTATCCGCGTCAAATGACCCCAATTCCCACAACCGCCGAAGTGCCCCTATTGGTCGGGACACAAGGTCTGCGAAGCTGGAGGACAACCACTGGAGAGAGCTGCTACGTCTTCCCAACTCGAAAAACTGTAATTTGAAACAACAGTTTGTGCTTAATGAAGAATTGCAACTGAATCACGGCGGGTGTAACAAAAATTGCTTAACAGAGACGTACAGAAGTGGCACTGCTAATGCTTAGACGATGTTCAAGGTCAAAGGCATCACCCGCGTCCGCCATGCGTTGCGCAATGCTTGCCAGGTTTTCGTAATGATAGGAATGACGACGTAATCGTCGGCGCATGTGACGGCTGAAATTCAGATAATTGTATTTTTTTTTTTAAATAACGAAGGAAAGTGCAAACCACGCAAATGTCTAGTATTCCATCGAAGTTTAGTATAACATCTAGGTACTTTTTTTAGAAGTAGGGCACCGGAGCTAAATTTCATCAACAACAATTTCTAAGTTAAATAGGTGAGGCTGTAATACACGAGTCTGTGAATACAGATTCTTACGAAGTAAAATATTTGAATGTTCGGTTCTACTCAGAAGTTGGGCGCCAACCAAGCTCGGCAAGACATGACATGAGAAAGCCTGTTAATCCCGCTACCATCGATGAAATTGATTACACTTAGAGAAAGCACTGACATGAAACAGAAGCAACATTTTCGGAAAAGCATCATTTAAACAAGGCAGCTAGTAGGATTTTGACAGTCTTCGGTCGCCTGGTAAACCAATGCGAACGGCACATACGGTAATCATGAGTATTGAATTGTGTCGACTTACGTCCACAAACTCCCGCCGCATACTTCGACACACCATCCCCCCTCTTTCAGTCATGCGGAACCGTCTGTTCAGTCACCGCTGTGCACGCACCGCCTCCACAACTTCTTCTATTCATCTGACCATACGGCCATTTGTACTTTAACTACCTCACCCAAATTGAGTTATTTAACAACTTCATTAAACCTACACTACTTTGAATGTGTGCACAAGGATCTCACGACCGGGCTGAGACATCTAAAAAGAGGTTGTGTCCCCGCCGTCTCCAATGTTCTTGATCCTTCCTAGTGTCGGTAGTGCGAAGTCGGGCCAATAAAACGCGGCCCCCTCAGTCTGGTTCAGCACTACATGTTGGGGCCTTCAACTCCCGCGAGAAAAAATGAACACACAGGAGGCTACCTAATCTGCCACAACACTCACCGCAACCGTGGTGCATAGTCTTCTCCACTTGGATCATTGGTAACCAAATCGCCGTTATCATCGATGGGAGCAGAAGCCGAGCGAAGCCGGACGAAAGCGGGCCTTTGAATCTGGGAGGATTCTGGGAAAACAAAGACATCGTCTGGCTGCTCGCTGGACGAGATGTCATCGCTGCTTCCTGCAGCGCCCTGCATTGGGACTACGTCCGGCATACAGGAGGAACCTGCGACGTCCTCCGGTAAATCTACAAACCACGCACAATGAAGTGCATTTTGAATACCCGGTTTGAGCTTCGGCGCTAAGATTGCTTTGCACGTCGCACGTTAAAATTTGGTAGAGAAAGTAAATCTCCTACTGCATGTCTTACTCACAGTGTGGGTTGCGCGTACATGCAGTCTGTCTTCAGTAAATCCAGCCGCTATCAAATCTTCCAATGGCCTGAAGATCATTCCATGGTCCCATCTTGTAGTAGTACGATAGAGCAAAGTTAGATAAGGTGACACTAGTTTTTAGCCTAAAGCCTTCAATGAGAAATTGAATGTGCCGTCCCTACTACGAAACACTGAGGGTGGAACCGCTAGGGTGATCCTGTTACCCTGATGAGAAAGGAATGCAACCGAAAAGTCGTCGCCATGATTTTACCGTAAGGCGGCAAAGCATTACTTCAGCTTGTAGTCGACTAGAGGCGTACGGCAATTCGCAATTCGGATCTCATGTCCTCGCAAACTAGCAGCTAGTAGGTGAAGCACTTAGACCGGCATTCGGAGCTCCCAGGCTTGGCATGGCAAAAACAGTCTCCTTTCGTGTCACGTCGACATTATTTTGAGCCAGCTTCGATTGCGATAAAGTCACCGTATAGAAATACAAGACCATAATCGATTACACTTGCAATTACCATGAAAACCTACTAGCCAGGCAGGTCAGATTGCGATAACATTCCTGTAACCAGTAGAGGCCATAAACTTCTGGCTCATTGCATTGCCTAGAGCACTAAACGTGGCCTCATGATGACTTGCAAAAGGGTAAACAGAGGGTTAAAAGCACAGCTTTTTTCATTGTTACCCTGACGGCAACGCCCAAAACAGGATCACGTGACGGTAGATGACAGCAGATGCACAATCACTCAGGCATGTCTAACTTAAAGAGGCCCCAGCCGCATGCGCTAGCACTGGTACACGTGACCTACGTGTTTTTTTTGGGTGCAAACACACCGTTTGATGAGATAAAGTGAATTGATGACAGCATTCCTAAGGTGTCAAGTTTCGTTTAGCGGCACTCGCACGAAGTACTACAAGAGAGTGTGCAGGCCAGGTGTCATTTAGTGACCTGGGTCATCCTGAATGCAAATTGCCAATAATGACTGCCTCGACCGAATTGTGCAGGGGCTTCACCAAGAAAAATTAATGATGTTCCAGTGGTTATTCGAAGCACCTGCATCAGCCGGACTTCTAAAGAAGTCCATGAGACGGACACAGGGATGGTGTGTAATTTTCTAAAAAAGGGTGGATTGACTGAAATGATTGTGATCTTAGAAAACTGCAAAACTGATAAGACATGTTTTGCAGATCACTGATTCGATCCCATGCAAGGAAAAGCAACTACTTGTAAATCATAAAACGCTACGTCAAACGAGTATGGACAATTGTGAGTCACAGAGGAAAATATGACTGCTCCATGACCAGTTACAAAATTAAAATGAAAAAAAAATAGTGTCGGATTTTCTAGCTTCTCAAGAAAGAATACTAGGACAAGTTTGAAAATATGGGAATGCTGTTTTTAGGAAGCATTTTTTGGCACTGTTAGAGAGGTTTTCAGGGGCACAAATCGGACAGATTAAGTAAGATTTGAAGGAGATCGACGGCTTTGATGCTCTTCTTAATGCTGAATTAGAAGCAGCGTTATCGGCTGCCCAAAGTTACAAATCACACGGGTTGTTCCAATATGACGATGTTATGATACATTAAAACTTGATGCTTTGTGTGAGGGAGATATTCCAGCTTCTCTAGTATTCATGAGACTCGAAATAACCGAGCAGGTCGCTTTGATGCCTTGCGAAATGACGTCGATTGCTTAAACCTCAAATACTTAACCAACTACGTGCAAATTAGGGAATGTGATGCCTTCAGAATTGAAAAAAGCACAATTGCCTTATGGTTTGCCTACTGCAGGTTGTACATTTTGCTAATCCGTGCGAAAAAATAAACCCGCAACTAACGCGCCTCGCTTCTTAGCGTTAGGCAACCACGAAGAAGCGATGACTCACCGAAAAATTCCTCCCCAAATATGGACGACGAGTTCGCCAGAGGCAAGGGACGATGCTGCGCGCGATTGTGATGGCAACGGCTGCAACACCGGCAGCAACAACAGACGGAGGAGCGAAGCAGTTGGTGTCGCCACTCCGCCTCACCCTCCTCGTACAGCGGCGCAGACTGCGGTCTGACGACGAGTAGACGCCGCCGTGGGTGCGCTGTGGGGAGGGGGTACGCGATTGTGACGCTATTGGCCGCGGGTGGTCCTGGTGGCGTCCACCTTGGCGGGGTCTGGGTCGCTACCGATCTAAGGTCGATTGCCTGGTGTCTGACCGAACTACGGCGAAGTCGTCGACGCAGGTCGAACAAAGAAGCTTGGCAAACAAAAGCAAACATGCCTTCAAATGCACACAGGAAATTGAGGAGAGTGACAGGTAAAATAGAACTTCTCTGTGACTTTCGTGCGCGTCATAACAATAAACATTTAGGGTTTTAAAGTGATAAGAGCAAATATGGACATTAAAACAAAGTTATTGGTGAGCAAGCGTTCACGCTGATCAAATTTTAGACCCTGAATCCACCAAATCAGCATTAAGAATAAAGCAAGAACTGGCAAAGGTATGTAATATTGCTCCAGGTGTTAACGCAATGCACAAATCACGCCCCGGGATTTTGTTAACAAACATGACGGGCAACACGTGTTCCTACCCGAGGTTCTATTAGCATTTTAAAACCCGGCTGAAAACGCCACGATTTCTAATCCATCCAAGATGGCCTACGTGACTATTAAAAAACGAAATATTAATCAACGTTAAAAAAACAAGGCCTCGTCAGCAGAGCATTGGACCAAACATGACTAGTTAACAGAAAATCGGAGCAAATCCTTACCACGACACATCCACAAACGTTTTTAGGGAAACTAAGAATATGGTATTGGTGCGACGCGTAGCCACATCACTCATGCCTTGGTAGCTTAGTGATACTAAATCACTTTTATTGCGGGAACCTAGCAAGTTCGTTTTCCGCATAGCAACCAATAAAAAATTGTCATTTTGACGGAAGCTGAACGCAGGGAGCCAAGAACAGTGTACCAAGCTGCCCAATAGAACACTAAGAAACAATTTTCTCTGTGTAGGATACTGACCGAATTTCCGAAATTGGTTTGTTTTCCCCACCACATAAAGAGCGGGAGGAAACACTCACTCCATTGCCAAACTATACGCTCAGTCGACTCTACCGAAAAATTTAAATAACAATCCCGAAAATACGGAGTTACCACCATCCTTTAAAGAAGATCCAAAAATAGCTTTTACCGTAATCTGTAGTTTGCTTGTTCGGTCGGTCTACAAATTCTACTTCCCCAAAACACAAAATGCGGTGAACGTCATTGTCTACCTGATGGACGGAACCAAAAGCAGTAAACTGGACAATTTGCCTGGTCCGAATTGCGGTGTAACTCAAATGCGGTTGGCGAAATTCGCACGTGCAAAGCAAGTCGAACTCTTCGAGACGGCGAACACGTCTTTCGAGAACCTTTCGAGTTGCTTCCAGCCACCACAAAACCGCTTTCATATTGAACGCAACCTGCAGCAGTAAGAACTACAAGCTCAACTCAATGATTAGCTATTCGAAATAGTTTACCACGTGCAAAGAAACCAGTGTAATTGGAATAAGAGTAGTGGATTTCCACGGAGATAGTTCGAGATTTTCAAGTACTGGTGGGGGAGAACGTTACTAGTGTTGCAACACTGCTCACCCTAACCAATGTGTTAACGAATCTTTGCTAATCAAACAAAGTTAAGGAAACTGGTACGATTTTGGGCTAATTTGCAAAACAATTTGAAATTACGCGGCAGATAAATCCCTGCATCAGACCTCACTTTGACGTCGCTCTAATCCAAAAAAAATGGGCATAGCGTTCACCTATTTTTGGAATTTATTAACTGCCTCCGGCCAATATAAACCTGGTTGCATCCCAACCCGAAGAGGGGATGATACGAGAACACCCCGATCGTAGTAGCGCTAAGTGAAACAATCGACAGCGAAAACAACAACAACGTCGACAACACCAGGGTTTTCGATGACTAACTGTATCACCAACGTCTCCTCCCACCCCGAGCGATGACTCATACCCTCTCAAGGACGCGCGTTATATCCGCATTGTCAAAACATGCCCGAAATTTTCGTGATTATCTCAGTTACCGCTAGTAGTCATGGCTTTGGGGCATGACCACCCACAAAAAAAAACAAGAGCAGTTGAGAGGTAGCTTTAGCTCGCTTAGCTATCAAACCTCGCCTTGCGTGGAGTCTATTGGGCAAACTCATGGGTTCGCAGTTGACACTGCGTCACAGTAGAATGGAAGAAACGCATGAAACTACGTGAAGGTAGTGAAGATGGCAAACTGCCAAACGATGAGCTGTTTAGATCCCAAAGGCTTTCCTACAAGCCTTCACAACACGACGACATCGACGCGACATCAAGTCAACAGAACAGACCTCTATATAGCTGGATTTTTAGGGAGGGGGCTAATCATATCCACACATTGCAATTCCCTACTTTGATGCTGTCAAAATAAATTGGGGCACCAGTGCGAGATGCACACGCAGTCGCGATGAGAAGTCTTGTTCATGTCAGAGTGGAGTCATTGCTATTAAGCCCTTATCGGTTTCGTGGCACGAAATGCACTGTCTGACGGGGCAGACGTCGTTCAGGCGCGTTTGATGGTGCCCGTCAACAGGAAGCTTTCATTATCACACGGAGTACTTCAATAACCCGGTGGCAGCATTTCCTGCAAAACTACCAATTGCCCTTGTAAAACCAGCCCCGTCACGAGACACTTAATGAGCTTAACTTCAAAAGGATTTTACGGAAACTGCTCAAAACACTGCATTTTTAATGAGAACTTTTTGTCAGCCTCTGCTGACCAATATTTTCTCAACTTCCCTAATTGGATGAGAACGAGTTCTCAGCACTGCTCTAATTTGTCCTCCTTCGAATTTGAAGGCATTAAATTTACAAAACTAATATTTCGACAAATTGAAAAGTGCACTTCTAGGAGTTTACTTGAGAGCAGAGTTCAAACAAAAGTTCCCCATTCCCACCATGGACGAGGGTATTGAGGTGTCGAAGTGGTAGACGAAACCCCTATTTCGACTACTCCTAGCCTTTTAACACCCATTTACTCCGTCGTGTTGGCCGATTCTGATCAGTGCCTAATAAATTCAATGTTGTAGCGATTCAAAACTCGCGATGTTCATCAGATCCCATCGGCCACAATGACTTTTAGGTGAAAATCTGTCCATAGTAATTTAATCGCTTTTAACAGAGGCCGGCCGACAATATCTTAAACATCTCCGCACAAAGGTGAGTGCTTGGATGAAAGTACGTTACAACACAAGCACTTACCCCTGGCTTGTCTTTGATCACGTGGAATAAAAACGGCTGGAGGTGGAGGTGAGGCGTCACGATGACCAGTCGATGTTTGTGGTAGTTCCGCTCCAGCGACCTCCGGGGGTCTCTCATCACTTCCGCTGCGACTTTCTTCCTCCTCCTCCTCCTCCTCGTCTTCCTCCGGCAGAGAGAACCCCTCGACTGCCAAGGGCGCGGATCGCGGGCGGAAAGTGCGGATTGGTGTGGCTCCGCGCAATGCCATTGGTTGGGGCTCAATTAAGCGAAACAGTGGGCACCACGGCTTGGGTGACTCCTGGTTCGACGACTGCAAATAAATCAAGGCCTTACAAATTAAACACGGACGTAGTAGGCAAACAAAAGCTCCATTTTCACAGTGGCAAGTGTAGAACACGAACGAAATCCTGACTTCATTGGTGGGAGCAAAAGAACATGAGAAGCCTGATCCTTAGGCAGATTTTGTCGACGAACAGGTAGAAGTGAGACTGACTGGTTCTTCCGCAATCAAGCAGTTCCCGCGTTCAATATGGAATGATTTCAAGTCAAACAATAGCATGTTTTCTTTGTTTTAAGCAATTCACAGTGCTTCTGTTAGGCACTGTAAGAAAGGTCATAGAAAACGTTTAACTATAACAACAGGAGGATGGGTCCATGTTCGTTTGCTTATAGAAGGTCTCATTCGATGAGGTCGCATTTCGTACAGCTTAAATTGATCGTTTGGCCTTCAGAATGACCACAAACCAATGGGTTAGCCCACACCTTAGTCATTCACTCTCCAGGCGGCTGGTGATGGGGTTCTAGATGTCGATTTTAGCAAGAGATTGCCGACTACCCTGTGGGGCACCCAAATAATTCTACAAAGGATTTGTGACCACCCATTCTGCACTCTAGAAATAAGGAGCTTTTTTTACAAACGGACTATGCTTTGATGGTGTCGTATGAGAACACTGTATTACTACTTAAAGTAGCATAAGCCTATAACTCCGTTGTCGGGGTTAGTAGATAAAACAAGGTGAAGGGATTTCAGAGACAACCAAGACTACCATAAAGCAGCACAGGAGCCAAATTTGTGGAAATCTTCTGCGGACACGACCGGCACTATGGATGGCTGACGTCAACTTAGCCTTTGAAGCCTCTTAATTGGGTATGTCTTTCGTTTCTTTCCCGGAGCTACGGCCTTTTGACTCATCATCACTCTACAGCGTGACTGTGGCTCTTTCGTGAGTCCAAGCACAAACCAATTTAATATTCACATTGCCGCTGCTGTCTTGGTGCTTTCGCACACGACGCCGTAAAGGAACCCATAAATTATCAATCTGGTCTGCAACAGAACTACAGGTCCTAGTCACTTAATGTCAAACACTGTATGTTGGCTTAAAAGACCGTGACAGAATTTTGTACACCTGGAACATATAATCAGTTATGTTTGAGTATAAAAAAGCCATGAGACCGACTTACTCTGGCGATGGGTGGCCGAAATCCTGCGGGGGATGATTGAAACATGGAGTCAACCAAACTGGTATCAGCAGGGTCCCTGACAACGTTGCTGAATGCCATTGTGTCCGACAGAGGCGTATTTTGATCGGAGAAGCCACTATCGGGTCTACTTGTGATTCCTGCACAAAATTCTCTTATCGCAGTGTGGGCACATTCAGATCCTACAGTTCTCCCACCCCTCGCCGCACTACGACGCTCGGGGGTCGACATCCAGCAGTCACTACGACTAAACATGGGTATCTGGGGGAAAGGATCCGATTATATACCTCACAGACCGGCCAATAGTGCTCGTGAGCTCGGTTAGTCATGTGCTGGCGCACGCTATTGGTCGAGGTACGTGGGTCTGATTCATTCAGCCAATCAGCGACAACGTTTGCATGCACAAGCATCGAGCAAGCTGTTTGCACGAACATTGCGCCTAGCTGGGCCCTGGAGCCGCAGCAGTAAACAACTTGGAGAAACTGTTGGGGTCTCTACCTGATTGACCTAAACGCACTTATTTCAGAGCTGAATGGTGATTACCAAGGTCGTGCAATGCCTTTCGATTTTACCCAATTAAAAAACAAGCTGCTGCCTATTTAATTGTTTTTAGATTAGCGCGACTTACGCATCAATGCCCAGTTGCCGGAATACGAAGCTAGTATGGAGCTTTAAAAAGTGGTATTTAAAAAACCCTTAACAATCAAAAGCTCGTCGCATTCTCCTTGATTTCGTAGTAAATGTGAATCGTTGCGAAACTCAAACAGCCTATTTACCAATGCGTCTCTATTAAGCTAATACCACATCGACAAGAACATTTTAGTATTGAAGAAACAGTTCTACAAGTTCTTGTGGTGCTATTACTTGGGAACGGCTGTGTCCCTAGATAATTTGCATCTACGAAACCCGAATCCTTTTCAATCACTGGTTCATTAATACGGGATCTGTTGAAATACTTTCAAATAAATTTCACGGAAGAGCACAGGGTCATCTTAATAGATGACAAACGTACTTGTACCTAATTCCTACTGTGCATAAGCAGTCTTAACATTCCCTAGTTAAGTTCTCCTGAATTTGAAAAAATTAGCCCCGGAAAGACGGTAAAGCGCCTCACGTCCAGCGACGTAGTGAGTGTATGTTGGGTACAACCATAGTTACCGAGATTGAAATCTAAACAGAAGAACTACGAGGCTTGTAAAGCATTTCTGGTCCCTCAGATATTGTGCCTCGTCTACGTATATAATCGCTTTCTTGACAGTAGCATAGTCACATAGATTCAGCATCGGAAACACGCATCCACTGTAAATTTCGGTGTGAATATAGAGCAGGCATTAAACGGTGTATTTTGTCCACGATCTCCAGTTGTAACAATTGCTGCACAACGCCATCAAATTTGTCAATTTACTGATCTTACCCTGAATTTTTGAATCCAGACACACTGTTCATTGTCCAAAAAGTGTCACCAACTAGTACATGTGTAATTTCTCCTTGTTGACAGTGTTAACGCTGAATGATGCTATTCAGGAACTTTAATCACCTCAGACAACCTAAACTCTATAGTCTTGATGGACAATACCTCCAATTTCCCATCTCTTCACCCTCCTTTTGGTTCTTTTTCGGCCGTCATAGAGGTAGATTATGGCAATATGAGGTCCTATCATCTGATGATAGTTATTTTCTATGGTGTCGGTTTAAACAAAGCCGTGACTTGCTGTCAGAAAACGTTTTGTCATACTGACAATAATTACCGTCCACTTACAACGAAGCTCCAGTTTGAAGACGCCTATTACGAACTCTACGATTCGCGCAATAGCAAACGCAGCGAGCATGGCCTTCAGCTACCACTGCTGCCGGACCTCTGGGATGTCACAGAATGAGTCAGCGAAATAGGCCAAGATTTCTGTGAAAGATTAATTAGCACCTAAATTTAGCAATCAGCCCGGATGTAAATTGACCTCACTTTAAGCAAGGCTCCAGCAAAACGTTCTGTGCACTAGTCATTTTGGAGGCTTTTTACCAATTTTGTTGGATTACTGATGACAACAGAAATTCGCTGCCTTTAGCATCGGAATTCCTGAACACCAAATTTTTAGGCAAAGTTAATTAAGTGCAATTGTCAAAATTTCTTTCACTCGGTCTAAACACGTTCCTCTCGACTAGCCCTCATCTCAATGGGCCGAAATGATCGACAATCTACCAGTGATGTTGTAAGTGAAGCAGGAATACAACAGAATATATCCTAGGCATGGCGGAAATTAAACTACATAATAATAATGGTAGTAATCATCCTTACCTCCGTTAAAACTTCGTTACCTGCATCAGTGCAGGGTAGTGAGAGGTTATGCGTTCTAGGTTAGATGTGCTAAGCTGGTGAGTTTTGAACTGTCTTACTTTGTAATCCACCATTGGTAATTAATCGGAAACATGCAGGTCAAAAGCCATTAGCTTCCTTCAAGGCATTCTGTAGGAACCAATCACGATCCGGAAATGGCGTGAAACAACGCACTACTCAGCACGACCGACTTAAAAACTTCGATGACTCACACCACAATGCCTAGAGGCAATTGGGTGGCATTAAGGTTTGAAACACTGGCCACGCACATCTCTGCCACTTTCTAACCACTGATGCTCTTTAAACTCATCTTAAAGCTGAATGTTTTAATTGTTCACAGTCATGACCACCAAGAAAAGTCAGTGGAGCATTTAAATAAAATGTTTGAGCCTCCACCAAAGCATCAAAACAATTCCCTGCCGCCTGCAAATCATTACATTTCCTAATATTTTTCCTCTTTTATATTTTGTTTATTTTACTGTGGGACGTCCTCTATCAACAAATTGAACATTACTTCTAAGGAATCGGGTCAAACTAGTTAGGTTTTGAGGGGGATAATGTTCGAGCACATTCAGTAGACTACCGAATGGAAGTAGATCGTTGAATTGTTGCTAACCCCACCACTGATAGAATTGGCAGTTCGTCTGAAGTCTTCTGTTCAACGACATCGACGCAAGCTGAATCCGGCTCTCTGAGACTGAGGAATGCAGCTAACTACCTTTAAGTGTCACCATCGAAAAATGGAGTAAGTTGTGTATGTTTCAGGTCAATTTATGTCCAGTAGAAGGGCTAGGTAACATTGATTATCGATTTAAACAAAGAACAGCCAACTGTGTGTCGGAGACTGTCACAAAGTGGTTAGAAAAAGTGTACACACATAGGGTTTCCTCTCCACTGAACCAATGGCCCAACCCAGTCTGATCTAATAGCAATGACTCACCTTCCCACCCCTCAAATGCTTCGATGCGATGTGCTTCGATAGGCATGATTGTAGCAAGTGACTGTCGCTCCAAGACCAAGGCGACTTTTAGACTCCGCCAGGTGATGATTAAGGCCATCGTTGATGTTGCCGGTACGACCTTTTCTTTCAGCAGGATATCAGAAGGATTTCTCACTGCCTTTTAAACCCAAGCCCTATAAATTGCTTGAATTTATACAGTCTAATCACATGTTGCCTCAACTGCAAGGCATAACAGTCAGTGATCTTCGTGTATTTGGAATTAGATTTAAACAAGCTCCGCCAAATAGTCAAGATCTCGATGAAATTGGGGATTTTTCTGGAATTCGCGTGGAGGTATTACACAGATTCAAATCACGTGCCAACTTTTATAACTATGCAAAAATCTAAATTTCCCCCTAAAAATATGCATGACTTTTCGGGTCATCGGAAACGTCATTTTCACTATTCCCGCCAGACTGGAATGGCAACGTGTTCAATCATTAAAGATTTGTGTCTTTAAAATAATTAAACTATTAAACCACTAGCTGGCAATTTAATGTTCCCCAAGTAGTATGCGTTGTGCAGAAACCTTCTACCCCATTTTCACAGACACCCTATCCACCGACCCCCGTAAATTTTGAGGTGAATGGCAACAGATTTCCGGAATCCTAAATAAAAGGACTGTCAAGTAAATAGGTGAGTTGGAAAACAAACCTGTTTTTCACAAAAGTACGCCCCATTGATGTCAACCACTCCCTTTTGTTCTCGATGTCACATGCCTTTACTTATTCAAGTTAATGAACCATTAAACACGTTGAGTTCAGAACGTCGTTAGGGTGCTGTGTCCGGTTATTCAGTCGCTTTGAGCATTGAGTTGCCAGATGGAGGTAGTTAACACATTTTAGCGTAATCGCGGAAGCCTAAATGCCTTTTCAGTGGTGCAGTTGTGAGGGCTCAAGTTGCATACCCCATTTCTCTACGTCCAGCAGTTCTTCGACGTATAAAACTGGCGAACACGCTTGATTTACTGATGAAACAGAAAGCTCAGTTAATAAACTTGTACTTCTGCAGACAACAACGCCGCTACCGGCTCGTGTGGAGGACTTCCTTCGTAAATAAATTATGCTCAAGTGGACCGCGTAATAGCAAATGGTCATGGACTTGTTCTCCTTCAAAAACAGAGAAATTGGTAAAAGTTGACAAACGCAGATGGTGAAGGCATGCAGTGGAAGCTGATAAAGTACATATCGCGTATTTGTATCAAACAAATTTATGCTCAATTGTTTGAAAAAGACTTTTAAATTGCCATACATTTGACGTCGCAATGCTCATCAGTTTGAATTTCTAACGACACGATTTTGAAGTTCCTACTATTTTTGACGTTTCTGTCACTGCTCTCAGGTTTGGCGTTCTTTAGCCGATGACACAGGTTTCCCAGTTGCGAGCAACTGCCCTATTTGCATTCACACGATTCGTTTGTGCCCAGGCCATGAATCTTAGCAGATTGGTTGATTCCAGAGGTCTGTCATCGAAATTGGAATACCCGTGTGGCGGAAGCTAGAACTACAGCTAGGAAATATGCAACCTTCCATGCAGTAGCACTTTAAGACCTTTGTAAATGAATGAATATGCCCGAGGATTGCCTTGGGTAGATGAAATAAGCCATGAATCCAAACCATCTGATGCGTCCAAATTTTCTTACTTTTCAAAATTAATCAAATATATAAAAATTTCCTCACAAGTTACCAGTGGACAAGGTACAACCATCGATGGGTATAAAAATCAATAACTGAGTCACATGTTGTATTGATATTGCAAGCACAATGCAGTGCTTATGCATGCTTCCCTAAATCACCTGGTTTACAAGACAGGGCAACCTGATGTTGTGGTAAATTAAAGAAAAAAATATTAATGAAATAGTTCTTCGAACTTTGTTTTTTTTATAATTCATTTCGATCCCAAAGGGATTTGTAATGCACATTTGCCGTTGCAGTGTGATTTCATTCTGATTAAAAGTGACAATTTGGATGCATAATAATTGACATTACCCGCAGGCGTTTCACCAAATTTCCATATTAAAGCTGTACGCTTAATTATGAATATCATTTTCGGTTTTTAGCAAAAAATGATAAGATCTAGCATGAATGTCTTGCCTAATTGAGAGAATACCTTTTGTACACCTTAATATCCAATGCTCATTTTTTTTACTGGCAATTGTTAACTCATCGTGGATTATATTTTGTGATTTTGGTTTTATGCATGCTATTTGCAATTTACTGTAACCATGTGTGCGAATATTCCTCAGTCTTGGATTAAAACGACGATAAGTAGGTTTATTAAAACGAGACGATCGACTGCCTTCGAAAATTCGCAAAACTGAAGGCTTTCCGAGGTCGCGATCTTGACATTCAGCACTAAACTTGCATTTTGGTTTTTCTTTTCACGTGGCATTTGACATCACGCTCGACTTCTACCCAATAATATCGATTTTTTTCAAATAGTGGTTGTACTTTAGTTGTTGGGCTTATAGTTTCGCACAATATCGATCCGTAGTAATCGCAACATATGCCGTAAATTTTTCTTCTACAATTAACAAAGCTAGAGAGATCATAGGGCCTTCAACATTTACCACAGAACTTCAAGCACCCCAGCGCACTCAAAGCGCGAATAAATGCACTGGAATGTTTGCCTTGATTCAACCACTTTAAGATAATGCGGATAGTTGATAAATTTTGTGCTGTGTAATGTTGTGGATGGAGTTATACCTCGACTTCATGCAATATTTGGATAGGGGATTTACGTGAACGCCACACACACGCACGCACACGGGCCGTCAACAGCTGCTTGTACTTCATAATTACGGAATATTGCGAATGTAGGATAAAAGTCCGTGATAATAATGGTAATGCTTTTAAGTTCCTAGTCTCGCAAAGATTTCGGTGCATATAGTTCCTGTCTTTAGGGCTGCAATTTGAACTGTCGCTGCTTATTCATAATCTGTTCCATCGATTTAATAATTTAACACCTCTCCTAATCGGTATGGATATAAACTAAAGATTTCAAAATTTTTGCCGACAATTAAGGGATGGGTTTAGATTTAAATCCCCATCACACAGACACACAACCAGATATCGTGTCAGGGGTGTTTTAGCCTCGTTAATTTAAATGTGTAGCCGCCAACATGAGTGCTCAAAATTACGATGCAGAAGATACTTATTAAGGCAATTTTGTCATTGGATGGCAACTCACCTATGATGATATATACCTAGTTTTGAAGGAAGTGGCCAGGTTTTGGCTTGTTGAGTCACATTTCAACAAACACGACAAAACAGCAAGTTCGTCGCTACTAAAGTTTATCAAGCAAAAGAAGTTACTCGCATGAAATGTCCTTTTGTTTGGTTCTACGCTCAAATTAGGCAGCTTTTGCTAAGGAGGCACCGACTTTCCGTTGTAATGTGTAAATCAATACAAAGGGGTTTTTCTACATAACATTCCTCCTTAGTGATGTGGGAACAATCAATACTGCAGTGCTTTTAGCTCTCGCGGCGCTTCAGTTGCCGTAGCAATAGCTCAATTAATGATAGCAGCTAAGGCCTACCGCTTAA